GCCGGGGCCAACCCCACGCCGAGTCTGCTCGCGCCCAGTGCTCCGGAATTCTGACTGTAAGCTCCGTACCGTTGTACTGCACAGAGCGCAAGCCGTCGAGCAACGGCGCGGCAGAAGCTGTTAGTCCAGGAGGTACGCCGCCGCCGCCGCCGCCGCCTCGGTCCCCGCGCGGCTCAAAAGCTCTAAGCGGACAGGTGACTGTGTGGGGGCCGTCAGCCGTCACTGCTGCCTCAGCCGTCGTGGGCGCCTCAACGCCACGACTTGTAAGCGGGGGCCGAAAAGGGCCCTACTACTACACCTAACGGAGCCGCGTGCATCACCACACTCTGGATGACAGCTCCCGGGGGGCCGTACTTCTTGCTGATGACCAGGATAAAGCGAGGTGCTGGAGAGAAAAAAAAGCAATTCATTGGAGGTGAGAGGGTTCCAGCATTTCAATTTGGCGGCCCTGGCGTGCTGTATGCGGGAGGAGCGCTGGCCTCCTGGGGTGGCCTTCCGTGCACTCGGGTTACATTCGCACTCGCAAATGGTTGGGTCAGGATACGGGTTGGTCGCATGTAGTTGAAAGCTAAATTGCCGCAATAATCAGCTGCATCGGTAAATGGGCGTCCTGATCGAGGGATGGTGTGGGTTGTGACACGCTGGAGTTAACGTGCTGGGCAGCTACGGTTGTTGTTAGAAGTTGGGATTGGAAGTTGGCGGTTATTGGGCTGGCGATTGCTGGGCGGCGGTAGTTGACACGGTTGGCAACAATTGGTGGCCGAGTCACATCGGCCGGTACGGCGGTTGACGTGGGATGGCTCTCGGGCGGCGGTTGGCAGTTGGCGGTTACTGGGGCAACTGCGGCAGCTGCGCTTGTGCGGTGCATCGTGTTACGAAAGGGCACGGCCGTATGTTGTGTATCTATATACACCGTGGCGATGTATGTGACGCATGGGTGGCATTGAAAGGTGGCATTTTAAGTAGGGGCGGCAGCCATTCATTAACGGATGAAGTAATATCTCGATGACTGCTGACTGAACGCACATTGGGGAGGGCTTGTTGAATGATGCTTGGACGTTTATCTCCAGGTTTGCATGATCAAAATGCTTCCTCGTCATGTTCTTTTGCTCACTGACCTGTTTAATAGAATGCAACCATGGCTCATGTTGCATACGTTCCTGTCGTACCTTGCAGTACAAGCAGTACACGAGGTTAAGGCGGTACAGGCACATCTTGCTACCCTTCCTTTGGCTTTGGCTGCAGCTTGTAAGGCCAACCGCCGAGCCGTCATACCGCCATTTATTACTTCAACACGTCTTTTGCGTCCACCTTTTTTGCCGTTGGTGGTGTCTTCCGTCGCTATAAATCCACTGTTGCTATGTTGTCGCACAGGGTAACTTCTCCACCTCGCACCTCGCAGCGGCGCGCGACGTACATGTGAAAATTTTATCCGCGGTTAAGGAATGAAGTTGAAGTGAAGTGAAGTGGTGGGGAATGCATGGCATCTGGCAGATCGTGCGCGTATGACGAAGAGTGGGATGAAGACAGAGTGGGGTGGTTGCAGTCGGTTGAACTAATCGAACTAATGGTGCATGCAGCGTGAAACGGTGTACGGTGTGTAATTTGTGAATCACGAGCACATGCTGCATGTATGAATGATTGTGTGAAGTAGGGGGGCGTGGGCTACAGCTTCGCCCCTGGCCGCTAGCCTTGCGGTCCTTACCTGCACCCTCATGCATCCTTCTCATCACCCACGTATGCCGACTTCTGTGAAGCCAGTAATTCTCTTCGGGTTCAGCACCCACCATCAGCGCATCCAGTGGAATTTGCTCCCGGATCAACAGCAGCGTCGAATCCACTCCTGGTCGCGGCTGGCAGATCTCTCGGCTCAGGACCAGGCTCATCACTATCCATCGGCATGGGGTTGCATCTAAACCCCAACTGTCGAATTCATTCCCCGCTGTACGTGTCGGGATCGACTCCGGAAACTTCCAGGGACTGTATGTCGCACCTTAACAACACATTCGTTGTGTCTGGAGCCGTATGTAGGTGTATGTAGGTGTATGTAGGTGTATGTATGTATGTGTATGTGTGTGTGTGTCTTCCACACAGCAGGGCCATCCATTCCCCCCCAGATGGTTCATTGAAGAGTGAATTTACCGCTGGTAGGCTGCAGCGGTGACAACGCAGGAGGCCAATAGTATACGGGTGTGACGTGAGTGCGCGCGGTGGTACCACCGCGGTGGCGACCAGGGTGGTCGAATAATGGGTTCGCATGGCGGCATTTTAGGCGACACCGTGACGCAGGGGGGAAGGAGTGAGGCTCAGCAGCAGGAAAGGGAAGGGGGTCTCCGTAGCATGATGTCCTCTCCCTCTCTCGGCATGCACGCGCGTATGTATGCGATGTGTGTGTGTGTGCGTTATGTGATTGTGCGTTATGTGATTGTGCGTTGTGTTATTGTTGCATGCTCACCTACCGCCAAATTGGGAAGGTGTAAAGTTGGAAACCACATTAGACTCACGCCTCACAGCCACCCTAAGACTACTGATCTCCTCCAGGAGATCAGTAGTCTCCTCCAACTCTCCCTCCCTGGACTGGTCCAGGAGAGGTCCAGCAACAAACCAAAGAAATAAAGGGGACAACACACCCGACCGAACAACACCGTGAAGGGCAGGGATAGGCACCCGAGAATCCAGGAACAGGAAGACCCTGCCATGACACACAGCCTTCTTGGTCCTCCAGCAATCCGCAGGGGGAGGTGGGAAGGTAGCCCCGGCGACGCCTCCCCTTACCGTTACTAAATCAGGATGGCTCAACTAGAATGGCCGGAGAGAGCACCAGGAGGTTGTAGGCTTTCCTGGGGTTCAGGATGTAGAGAACTGGTGGCGGCAGCGGGGCTTGGATGAGCAGGAGCTGTGGCCCAAGAAGGGCTGAAAAGCTTAGGCAAGGCAGGTCTGCACTGCAGGGCTGGGATGCTTGGCGAGGGGCGAGGGTGGCAAAACTTTGCCATACCGGGTTCTCCCCCTCCTGGTCTCCCCAGCCTTACCGGGCCCTCCAGCACCCCCTATCTTTCGGCGAGGGGGCAATACACCTGCAGTACACCAGCCTCCATGTTTACCAACCTGGTCTTGTACCCGTTGACCATCACCTGGGCTGGAGAGTCTTGCTCAATTGCAGATGTGCTCATACTGGCCATGCATGCACACAGCTGTGGCCCTGCCCCCATCACCTCCATGGCTGCTACATAGGAGGAAGCCGCGATCCGCTGTGTCATAGGCCTTGGCAAAGAATGCCAACAGCCCCTAGCGTTTCTGCTTGTGGAGGAGCTGTGACAGGTGGTGCAAGAAGCGTATGGCAGCGCCGTTAAGGCACCTGGGGAGGAAGGTCAATTGCTTGGGGGTGATGGCCCGTCCCAGGACGGAACCCCTTGGGGGTTTTCCATCACCACCTCGGTGAGGAGCTGGTAGTGCGAGCACAGCAGTGCGATGGGGCAGAGTAGTTGGCTGGGAGCTTGGGGTCTGTCGCATCATACGACTGTAGAAAAGACGTAATAAAATGAACGTGACGCTAAAATGCCGTGACAGGTCACCCCCTTATTATTGAGCACCACTGTAATAAGCCGGTGCTCAATACATGAGGGCGCCTGGGTGCCCCTGGGGCCCGGGCATAGAACCCCTAGAGGGCCTCTGTGCGGGGTGCCCCAAAGGCGATGGCAACCTGGGACTGCTTGGGCTGTTCCAGCGGCGGGTTGGCCGCCTCCTGAGCCCTCTCCTGCAGCCTGAGTCCATCTCCATCTCCATCTCCCTAAAGCATAGAGGCATATTCTTTTTGGATTTGCATCCCTTGGATAGCATCTGGACCAATAGCAGGTTTGCTGCCATCACTGCATTTGCTGTGGGGTGGGGTCTGGGGTGGTTCTAATATGTGGCTGCTGAGGCCGTACGGTTAGTTAGGATGCGCAGTGGCTAGGCCGCCACCTGGGCTGCTCCCGATGTCGCTGCCGGGCACTGGGGGGTCGTCTTCGGTGCTGCTGCTGGTGCCAGGAGGTTTGGCCTGTGCACCACTCCCACTCCCATCCAGGTGGACGGCACGGTTTCTGCCACTTGTAATGGGGCACATGGTTCTGCCCAGGGGGCATTTTGCGGCCGCTATGGTGGCGGGCCCCCTCTGAGTCCTTGCCATGTAAGCCCATGTAAGTAAGCCCATGCGGCTTTTGATGCCCTGTGGGTGATGCTCAGGCCAAGGAAATTATAGGTTTAGAGTAAACTGCAATCTGGTCAACCAAGTCACATCAACACAGCACCAATTGGCAGCGGTGAGTGGCCGTTCGGCGGACAACCTATACCGTTTTGTTATAACGGTAAGAAGTTATGCCGAAAGTCTGATGCATTCAAACTTTACGCAATCAGTATGATAAATGATAGATACGATTATGCTGTAATTCAAGCTGCTGGGCTTTTTCAAACTGTCTTTTTCTGCGCGGTCACGATTGCCTATATTGCCCCTGAGTAGATGGTGTCGCTTACAAGCTACTTAAGTATGATCATGTAATGCTCCAAAGATTACGACGGACAGCGGCATGGAGACATCAGTACGCTTCACGCCGCTGTCCGGCGTTGATGCGGAGTCGCCGCTTTGTTATTTGCTGGAGATCGATTCCTTCACAATCCTCTTAGATTGTGGCTGGGATGAAAATTTTGACGAGTCTGCACTGGAACCTATTAAAAGGTAAAAAGCCCCAGCAACCCTTTCCGAACTCCCTCACCATCTCGCCATTTATGCCGCCCGGGACAAAAAACGCGGCACGTGTTGGGCCAACCCTTCCCCGAGCCAATTCAGCACTCCCTGAACTGCGTGTCGGAAAGAGGAGCCCTGCCCAACCTTACATTCATATGCCTCAGGCCAGACTTTACAGGCAGCGTCGTCTCCCGCCTACTGCAAGTATATGAGGGGCGTATACCTCCGCTGCTCCATTTCCCCCCATAGACTTTTCCCTCCCATCCCACCCTCATCCCACCCAGAGCACCTCCCACTTGGGTAATGTTTCACCCACACACACCTACACGCCTGCATCTACTGCTTCGCCATTTCAGCTATGTATCATGGACTCTTACATACTGGGTAATTCTACCACTCATCTCTTTGATGGACTGATTAACGGCCCGCCCCCCCGCGGTGATGTTATTCCGTATTCGTGTACCACCATCACGCAGTAAATTACCCGCATACAGACAGACAGATAGACAGACAGACAGACAGACGTGATATCCGTCTCCCGTTCCCCAACTGACCCCCTTGGCCACGACACACGTACCCTGTCCACGCGGCTGTACCCAGGGTTTTACCCCGAGTCAATGCCGTACTGCTGTCACACCCCGACGTGGCGCACCTGGGCGCGCTGCCGTACCTGGTGGGCAAATGCGGCCTGACGGCCCCCATCTTCTCTACCAAACCCGTACGGCGCATGGGCGAAATGTTCATGTTTGAGTCGTACCTTGCAAAGCAGGCAAGTACGAGCATGTACGGCGGTACGGCATCCTTTGCGCTGGGACCAGGAAACCCGACCCACTTCCCCATCCAGCCATGGGGCGGTACGGCGCATAGCTGCTGGGATGAGAATAGGTATTTCGATTTTCTTAGAGTTTTAGGATGTTAGGGATGTGCGAGTAGGTTGACTTACTGGTGTTGTGATAGGGACCGCCTGCATCCCCCTCCCCTTCCTGGTTTAAGGACGGCAGACCTCCCCATTACCGCGCCTTCATTCCACTGTCGCTGCCTCACCACCGCCGTGCAATATGGATTTCTTCCTGCCTCTCATCGTGCATGTCGTACGTTGCCGTACATCCGCCGTACTGGTGCAGGATGTCAGCGACTTTGCCATATTTGATCTGGACGATGTGGATGCGGCCTTTCGTCTGAACCCGCGCTGGACCGAGTTGCGGTTCAGTCAGCGGCACCAGCTCGTACCGCCGCCGCCGCCGCTGACGGCACAGGACGCAGCGGCGGCGGCGGCGGCGGCGACGGGGGGTAGCGGCGGCGGCGATGATAGCGAGCTGGCGGCGATGCCCGCCACCGCCGGCGGCGGCATCGCCATTGCTGCCCACGCGGCGGGTCGCTACCCGGGTGGTGCAGTTTGGCGCATATCGCTGGGTTGCGGAGAGGAGGTGGTTTATGCGGTTGACTACAACCACCGGAAGGAAAGGTACGACTAACCGCCCAACCTTACCTACCTACCTACCTGCTCACCGTCACGTCACATCCCAAGCTCCAGAACTCTTGCTCCGGCCCCCTTCATTTACCGATATTGGTTTTCCTGCTCTCTGTCCGCACCTAGTTTAGCCTTGGCGGCTAGGTAGGTAGGTTTCCCGGTATCGCCATGATGGCTACTAGCATCATCGCGAGGACTTCTGCTTCACGGCGCCGACCGGTTAGCTATGGCCTTGTTCCTTACTTCTGGCGCATCAGTCTCTCCTTGGCATCACCTTCACTCGTTCGTGGTTCGTCTTCCCCCCCCTTCCCCCCCTTTCTCCCTCCCTTTCCCGACCGACCGACCGACCGACCGTGCTTTACACAGTGCCATTTCACTTCCACGAGAGGTTACAACCGCACGGTCGTACAGTAGTACAGTAGTACAGTAGTACGACACGTCTTAGGCACAGCAACACCCTTGTTCGACACGCAACAACGCCGGGGACATCATTCCCAACGCGCTGAGGATGACTCCACGTTTTACATACACACACACAAACACACACACACACACATGACCTCTAGGGGGGAACAACGCGGCCAATAAAACAAACAGCTCGGTGGCTGTACGGCAGTACGTGAGGTTCACCCCCAAGGGAGAGCAGCAACAGCTGCGTCTCCCCCGGGGGCGGCACGGCTCTTTTGCGCCCTCAGCAGCAGCAGCACCAGGTGGTCAGCCATAAGGGGGAAACCCGTCAGCCGTGTTCCCTCCTCTGATATTGCTACCCCGGGTATTGCAATATACCTTTTCCCCCCTATTCCCCCCTATTCCCCCCTCCCGCCAATGCGGCTAGCAGGGCATATAAGTAATGCCTCGTCGTCAACCACCGCATGCAAGTGACATCTCGTCGCAGGTCGGGTCCACCCCCCCCCCAACACACATACATACATAAAAGAAAACAACACAAAAAACACATCTATATATATATATCTGCAACACCCCGGAGCCCTACGGACCTTCCCGCTTCCAGTCCATTCAGTGCTCCCCCCTTGTTTGTTTTGCCCCCTCCCCCCTTGCATCCTTCATCTTACCACTGGGGCCCCCAATGATTGGCCCTCCCCCGCCCCCATTGTGTTCAGGTTGCTCAACCGGACCAACCTTGACGAGCTGTTGTCCTCCCAGCAGCCCGCACTGCTCATCAGCGACTGCCTGAACGGGCTCACGGAGAACACTGATCGACACCGCCGGGACGAGGAGTTCCTGGGTGGGTGGGGGGGGAGGGAGGGGGAGGGGGGGAGGGAACGGGGGAGGGAAGGGGGGGAGGGGGGGAGGGAACGGGGGAGGGAAGGGGGGGAGGGGGGGGAGGGAACGGGGGAGGGAAGGGGGGGAGGGGGGGGACGACGAACCACGACAATTGAAGCTGAGGAAGGGGGAAAGGGTGTGGGGGGGGTAACGAGGGTCCGTCCTGTCCTACCAAGTCAGGGTCCGGGGCTGAAGGCGAGCTATCAGAGGAGCCTTCACACCGCCCCACGCCACCCCCCACTGGCAGCCGCTGCAGGTGGACACCCGACAGAAGGGCGGGCGGGGGGGGTCCTAGCACCGCACTGCCCCCTCACACCCGCCTCCATCCCCCCCCCCAATCATGCTGTGAACCCCCTCCAACTCCGTCACACCCTCACTTCTTCACCGTACACACACACCCTACTATGCACATACATACACACCTTATACACACACACTCTCTCCCCACACCCATTTCCCCTTTCCAACCCCTACAAAACACACCCCACACACACCCCACACACGACCCCCTTTCCAGACGCCATCACAGCCACGGTGGAGGCGGAGGGCAGTGTGCTCATACCCACAGACGCGGCGGGGCGAGTGCTGGAGCTGGCTCTGCTGCTGGACGAGCATTTCTCAAGGGCACGGTACGACAAGGGTACGACATGTTCCGTCCTTTCCTCGAGACCAGTTTTCGCGTCTGAGAGGAGGGGACGGGGGAGCAAAACCCTTCCGGAGTCTGAGTGTCTGTGTTTTACTCCTACAACCCCCTCTCCCCTTTTTTCTTTCCCCGCTACCAGCCATCCCCCCCCCGTGCGGCGCTCCTTCCGTACTCTACCCCACTCGCTTCTTCATCCCACCCCAGTTGATTCCCACTTCCGCTTCCTTCCACGGGCATCACCTCCCCTTCCCCTAAGCCCCACCCCCCAAACCGTCGTGGCCCGCCTTTTCCCCCCAAACCCCTTCGCCCCCCGTCAGCATCTCCGCAGCCCCCGTGTTGTTGTCCGCCACCATCAAGACGGTGTTGGAGTTCGCCCGCACCCAGCTGGAGTACCTGGGGAGCGAATTGGTGCAGGTGGGGGGGTGGGTGGGGGTGGGGGGAAGTGAATGTGGGGATGGGGGGGGGTAGGAGGTTACGGAACTTGGAGGCCGTGTGTTTGGGGGGGGAAGTGTAGAGGGTCCGGGGGGGGTTGGGGGTGTCAAGAGGTCGGAGGAGAGCTGCTGTTCGTGAGTGCCGTTCTGTTACATCATGTCGTACTGGGACCTCTGCGGCAGCTCCGTGTATTGAATGAAACATATCCATGTATATTTCTTCCTGCCTTTTCTCGGTCTGTATGTCCGTCTGTCTATCTGTCTGTCTGTGTTTCTCCCCTCCCTGTATCGCTTTCATTCCCTCCTTCACCCCCTGGCCCTGCTACCCAGCACCCTCCCTAACCACTATTCCCCCGCACACACATACACACGCACACATACATACATACATACATACATACATACATACATACATACATACATACATACATACATACATACATACATACATACATACATACATACATACATACATACATACATACATACATACACACACATCTCCCTCCTACCCCTGAAACCCTGCAGGCCTTCTCTTTGAAGCGCTCCGTGCCCTTCTCATTCCGCAAGCTCTCCGTCATCACCCGACTGGAGGAGCTGGGGGCATTTCCGGGACCCAAGGTTTGGGGACATGCTGTGTGTGTGTATGTATGTATGTATGTATGTATGTATGTATGTATGTATGTATGTATGTATGTAATTAATGTATGTATGTATGTATCTATCTATGTTTATTAATTGCTGATGTCGCTGTCGTTGCTTCTGTTGCCCCCTCCACACGCACACAGTCGGCCCCCCTCCCCCCTTCCTCCCTCCCCCCAACGTCAGGTGGTGTTGGCCCCCATGCCCTCCCTGGAGAGCGGTCCTGCGCGGGAGCTGCTGGTGCAGTGGGGGGCCCTGCCCAGGAACACAATCATCTTCACGGAGCGGGCGCAGGTGGGGGAGGGGGGAAGGGGGGAGGGGGAAGTGTGTGTGCGTGTGTGTTTGCAGATTTGAAGGGTGGGGGGGGAAGGGGCGGGTTTTCTTTGCCCAATAGCGGTCAGGCAGTGCGTGTGTTTCTTGCAAGAGCTCCCGTACCCTCCGTACACACATCATTTCCTTCCAACCCACCTCCTTACACGCCCCGTCCACAGTCCGGCACCCTGGCAGCAGCGCTCCAGAACCACGACCCCTCCTCCTCCTCCCCTCCAGCCCCCCTCCGTCTGCCCCTCCGCGTGACGAAGAGGGTGCCCCTGGAGGGGCAGGAGCTGGCGGCGTGGCAGGAGGCCAAAGTGGCGGAGGCGGCGGGGGCGGCGGGGAAGGGGGGGGAAGGAGATCTCATGGGTGGGTGTCGGGGTGGTGGTGGGGGGGGGGGGGGAGCTGGGGGAAAAGGGCTGAGGGGGAGGGGTAACTAGTATTTAAGCATGCATGCATACATATGTACGTACATAATCCGATTTAACTGTGTACCTGCATACGCACACATACTCGCGCACAAACCCGAATTTCCCCCCCCACACACACACACACACGTGGAAACACACACTCACATACACACACATCCGGGCATTCGTAGTTCACAGTTCCCCCAACAACATTACCCCCTCCCCTTCCCGCTCGCGTTGTTTCTTCTGCATGATGATTCCCCTTCGCCTCCCCACCCCCGCCGCCGCTCCGTACAGATTCGCTACCGCTGCTCTCCGCTGCCGCCAGCCTCACCCCCGCCAGCCGTCTAGCCGCGGCAGCTCGTCTTGCTACCGCAGGCACTGCAGCCGCCGCCGGCGCAGCTCTGGCCCCCGGGCAATTGACGGGGCCGCTGCCGTCCCTCAGCACCCCTGCCGCCGCCAGCCGCGGTGGCGGCGGCGGTGTGGCCGCCGTCGTCGGACCGCTAGATCAGCCGCTCCGTGCAAGTACCGGCAGCATCAGCCGCCTTGTACGGGATAGTACGACAGGCGCTATCGTACAGACGCTGGTGGGATCGACGCCGGGGGCTGCGGCAGGCGGCGGCTCAAGGGTCAAACGCGGCGGCGACGGCGACGGCGGCGGTGGCGGCAGCAGTACTGGTGGTTGGGATGCCGGACTGTTGATTGACGGCTTCGAACCGCCTGCGGTGAGTGTGTGTGAGATAGGGGGAGAGAGAGTGTGTGTGTGTATGTGTTTGTGTGCGTGTGGGGGTATATTCTATGTTTTTTGGGGGATCTCGCGGCGAGTGTCCGCGGGTGAAATGGTGTTTGGAGGGGTTGCTTCACTGGCCCCCCTGGTCGGGTTGTCTGTGTATTTACCCGCCGTCTCCGCTTCGCTTCCCCCCCCTCCCCGGCGGTCGCAACGCAACCGCAACTTCCAACCGCATCCCAACCGCAATTTAACCGCAGGATGCGGCCTTCCCCATGTTCCCAGACGAGGACGGGCCGGTGTACTGCGAATGGGATGAGTACGGCGCCGTACTGGGGAAGGACGAGTTTCGGGTATGTGTTTCTGTTTGCCCATGGCGGAGTTGTAATGGTGTTGTAATGAAATCGTGGTTGCGTTTGTTGCACTTGGTACGGCAGTTCTGGAACACCAGTGCCGTACTTGCGTGTGTCAGGGCTCACGGCAAGGGCCGTTCTGAGGTTTTGTGACCGTCGTACGCGTGTGGTGGGGGGAAGGGGAACATCGCAGGCCTGCGCCGTACAGGCTTGGATCACGGGAAGTGATAGTGCTCTAGTTTTATGCGAGTGAAGCCAATGCCGTACATAATCTATGTCGTACATTCGGTTTGTAGGTCCCACTCCTGCCGGATCCTGCCTGCGGCACGGCGGCAGGTCGGGCTGGCGGCGGCGACGGCATGGATATTGACGGCGGCGACGGCGGAGGTGGCGGCGGCGGCGACGGCGGCGGCGGCAGCGCGGCAGCGGGTGTTGGCGAGGCTGACGTGGCGGACGAAGTCGACGAGGCGCCGACCAAGCTGGTGGTGACGGAAATCGAGCTTGAAGTCCAGGCGGCCATCAGGTGCCGCAAGAACCCCGTGTGTGTGACTGAGTGTACGTCCGATCCCATGTACGGAGATGCTCCCGTAATTAATACGGTTTTCTGGGATGCCGATTTTGCTCTGAACACAGCTTACCGTACCGTACGACGCCGCGCTCGACATCCCCGTTCGACTGCCGTCAGGTTCTTCGACTTCGAAGGGCGGTCCGACGGCAAATCCGCCCTGGAGTATCTGTCGCGCGTCGCACCGCGTCGACTGGCGCTGGTGCACGGCAGTACGGCAGCGCGGGCAGCCATGGCGGGCGCTTTACGACGGGAGCTGACGTACTACGGTACGCAGGTGTTCACGCCCGGTAAGTACTCAGTAGTTGCACGTCGACAGTTGGTAGTTGGCAGTTGGGGGTTACAGTGGCCCGGGGATTAACTCCCTTTGGAAGTTGTTGGGGAGTAGACTTGGTGTGTGTTTGACATCACCCCTCTTGTGGTGCTGCGTCCCCAACATCCCCTTCCTCTCCCTCTCACTCTTTAGTGCTGTTTCTCTTCCTCCACCTCCTCCACCTCCTCCACCTCCCCCACCTGCCTGAACTCCTGCCGGGCTTCTCTCGAAATGAAATGAAGTGAAGCGATGTGACCCAGACGGCTCCGGAGGGCCCCAAATCCCGTTTCCCTGCGGCTTTCCTGGCATACCTTGCCCTTTACGAATTCACGTTCGTATGATTGTCGTACGATTGTCGTACCGTCCCGCAGATCTAGGGGAGGTGGTTGAGGCTCGACTGGCTCCTAGCCAGCTGGCAGCGCTAGGGCCTGCACTCGCGGGGTCACTGGTTGTACGGCAAGCAGGGCAGTACGGCGTGGCCTGGTTGGAGGGTATCGCCCGGGCCGGTCAGTTGGCGGCTCCGGAGGTAGGAGACCCCACAGGGGCGGGAAGGGGGTTTGGAGCGGGGCTATGTATACAACGATTTGTGTGTGTGTGTGTGTGTTTAAGTATACACACATATATATGTATGTATGTATGTATGTATATTTATATATTTTTTATTTATACTTATTTACATATTTATAGATACAAATGTATATCTGTGTGTGTTTTCAGAGGTGACCACGTGACGGAGGTGGCGGCGCTGGTGGTGGAGGTCACAGACACATACATACGTACGCACACAACACTGTTTTACGCTTCATGTTACCTTTCATGTTAGAGCACTCCAGGCCCCCGGGAATGTGTTTCACATCGCTTTGTGTGGCGCCTCTTTGCCACCCCCTGGCTCGCTGCCACCTCCGTCCCCGCCACCACCGCCACCCCGCAGCAGGCCAACCCCCCGGTGTTGGAGCCCCTGGCAGCTGCCGCGGAGGGGGGGGAAGGGGAGGAGGGGGACGCCAACAGCAGCATCAATGGTGGTGGTGGTGGTGGTGAGGGCAGTGTTCTTCTGGCCCAAGCTGGCTCCGTGCTCACACTTACACGCCTCAAAGGGGCGCTGGCGGCCGCAGGTGGGCGGGAGGAGGAAGGGGAGGGGGAGGAGCGGGGGAGGGGGAGGGGAGGAGCGGGGGAGGGGGAGGGGAAACTCCACCCCGCTCCACCCCAGTGGGCAGTTGTTACTTTGCTTCATATTGCATCATATTGCATCATCATCATCATCATCGTCATAGTATACTATCCGCCGCTCTGCGCCCCCTCACCCCGCAACAGGCTTTCAGAGCCACTTCCCCAGCCGAGGTGTGTTGGCCGTCATGGTGGGGGATGGCCCCAGTGCCGCCACCTTGGTGGTGACCCTGGGCACCTCCGGCCTGGGGGCGGGAGGGGGCACCGCTCCCCAGGCTGACAGGGTCGTGCACGTGTCCCTGGAGGGCCCCGCCAGCGAGGCGTACTACAAAGTACGGGAAGTCATTTACGAACAGTTCGGAGTGTGTTGATGACCTTCCTTATTGCGGCGGTTGGCGGTTGGCAGTTGGTGGTTCGGAGGGGGATCCCGCCCGCCTCATACACGTAGGTGAAGCACACATGCACGTGTCTCATGCCTCATGTACGTGTCTTAATTAGGACCTAGTCCGAGGAGCGGGGAAAGACGAACCACAAACGAGTGAAGCTGCTGCCAGGGCAAGAGTGTACCAGACGTAGAACTGACCGAAAGGCGTCCGTGAAGACCGCGACCTCGGGATGACGAAGTGAAGATGATTTCGGAAAAACTACCTACCTCCGAGGAGCGGGGGAGGTCCGTACCTTTTCGGGAATATGCGATTGATCTTGCAGTGGAATGCCCCTGATGTATGTATGCATGTATGTATGTACGTATGTGTATGAGGGGAGTCCGGCTGCGGGCAGGTGAAGTCCACCTTGTTCGATGTGGTATAAATAGCTTGAGGGCTCGCGGCTTCAGTTCTTTTTTTTGGGGGGGGAGAGAAAGTGTATGGCCAGGGTTTCGTATTCGTGTGACAGGTAATGCTTGAACGTCTACTGGTGGCGGTGGCGGTATGGAGGGGGGGTGTATGGAGGGGGGGGTGTTCCGACCTCCCACCGCCGCGACCTCCGTGACTCAGGTTTCCAGGGCGCCGTACAGGGGAATCTTACCGCGCACTTATACTCGTTTAGATCCTTCAAGTCCACGTGGTGGGCCTGCGGGTGGTGGGGAAAGCATCTAAGAGGATTCCTACCCCGGGGGAACAGGGCCTTACTGCAGCGCCGTACTTCATTCCTAATCATCGAGACTGCGGATGGTGCCAAACAGGCAGACACCTTCATCCATGCGCATACTGCAGTAGCCTTTCACACATTAATGTTGCCGTACAACACCTCATCTTTTTTCCATCCTCCATCCTCCGTCTTCCGTACACATTCACATATTCGCATGATCTGCAGCTGTTTGCCTAGCGTTGGCCAAACCCGGATCAAAGCTTCCTCCGAGCGCCGCCACGCGCGCTGAAACGCGCAGCGCCGCACAGACCTTTCCGCACGCGAGTCCCGAAAAGGCGAAAGACGCCAATCCCACGACAGGACACACACAACAAACGGCCACCGTGCGGCATTTCAGCCCGCGACTCTCGCTTTTCCGAAACCTCTACAGTGGAACTACAACGACTTGATAAACAGAGCGGAGCCGCTCTCCTCTCTTTTCCCTCTCGCTCTTTCTCCCTGCACTACGTAACCTGTCTACTAGAAGCAACAGAATAAAAGATCCGTTCACCAGTACCTACAAATCAAGAAGAAGTTAATGTTGCTCATGTTGTTATTGTTGCTGCTACTTGCCGCCCATTTCCAGGCATATGTTCTGACCTTAGGCGCACCGGGGAAAGCGCCAGCAGCAGCAGCAGCAGCAGCAGCGGCAACCGTCCGCACCACCCGCAGTGTCCTTTCAAAGGGAAGGAAAACGTCCAAACAAAGACCGACGTGCCACTCTGCAGAGCCGCCGCCGGTTAGTCATACCGTACATCGGAAAGCGCATCCTGCGCTGTATATGCCGTACACATGTGCCGCACCATCGAGCACCACAAACACATTTCCGCCCTTAGGCCGGTGGAGACCCGTGACCTCAGGTGGTTCCCCCGGACGGCTATCCCCACACGTTCCCCCGCAACGCGCGATGTGGTGAAAGCACATCTCACGAGGACGAGGACCGCATAACTGTCACCCGCGCAACCGCCAGCTCCAGTCCCCGCTCAACTGGCGCCACTGCAGACGTTACGACGGGCGGTACGGCAAGCACCGGCTCCACACCGCCGCTGCTACTACTGCTACTACCCCTTTGCTGCTGCTGCTGCTGCAGGAGGTAGTCCTCAAACCTGTCCATAACCGCTGATGTACCCGGCCGCGGTCCCGCACCCGGTGGCTTACCAAACCCCTCCCCCTCCTTTTCGTTTCTACCTTCAGCTGCCGCACTCGGGCCTGGTGACATCCCGCAACGACACCCCGATGTCTCCCCAGTGCACGGCGCAACACCTTCATCCCCGCAGTCCCCGGGCTCCCACGAGGCCAACCGGGCAGTGGAAGCCGGATCAGTCACCACCGTCGAGCCATCGATCGCCGCTGCGGCCACGATCGGCGTGCGGATCAGCCTTCCCCCGCCCCTCTCTCCCCCCACTGCCGCGGCTGCTGATGAAGTTGAGCTTGCCGCCGCCCCGACAGCCGTACTGCACGACCCGCCTGCGCCCGCACTCGTACCCACGCTGTCTGCAAGACCGGCCCCCTGCACGCTACCGCCGTCCTGGTCGCGATGGGCCCCAGCACAGGCGCCTTCCATCCCCAGCCTCTCGCCGCCTCCGCCAACACAACCCGTTGCCGTCCCCCTACGCCTCTCGCCTCCACCGCTGCTGCCATTGCCGTGGTGACCGTTGCTTGGCCCAATACCGTTGGCCCCGCCGCCAACGGCTCCAACACCTTCCGTACCTTCCCCTGTGGCAGCGCTGTTGCTAGCTCCGGAGCACTGTACGACACTGACAGGCGCCAGACAGGCATCCGCTTCTGCCCCAGCAGCGGTGGCAGTGGAAGCGACTGCCCCCGGCTTCGAGCCGACGACGCCACCATCACCACCACCACCACTGCTGCTACCCGTAGAGCTATCCAAGCCTGCCACAACAGCCGATGGTGCAGCAAACTCCTTTCCGCTAATGCTACTGCTGCTGGCAAAGGAGCCATCAGCTCCGAAACCATTCGTGCCGTTGCTCTTGTTGCTGGCGCTACTACCAGTCCCGAGAGCTGTATTGGACAACGCGCGCAGGGAGCCGGGAGCGGAGCCGGGGGCTGTCAGGAGGGCACCGGCGCCGTGCTGCTGCTGCTGCTGCTGCGGCGGCTCCGTCGTCCATTCCGCCTCATCCTCTTTCTCCCCCGGCGCCGACTGACGCAGCTGCTGTTGTCGCGCCCCCCACTGGCTGCCCTCCGTCTGGCCCTGGCCCTGCTCCGACCCCCGCCACCGGCCCTCCCACCCCAATGCCAGCTCCGATTCCTGCTGTTGTAACAACTGTTGCTGTTGTTGTTGTTGTTGTTGTTGTTGTTCCCGCACCGCCGCCTCCACATCCCGCAGCTCTGAGGGCAGGTCTATGGAGAGGTCTGCTGGCTGAGCGGACAGTGACGGCGGCCAGCCAACCACCGCGTAGATCATACGCAGCAAGATGGATGTGGGGCCCTTAGGCCAGGTCGACCGGTCGCCCAGCACACCCCAGAATTCCACTGTGTCCAGTTCCTGAAGAGGCAGTGGGGGCAGTGGCGACGGGGTCGGAGGCAGCGGAGGTGGGCTGCCTTCGGGGTAGGGACAGGAGTGGGGGTAATGATGATGGTGGTGGTTGAAGTGGATGGCCCTTGAAGGAGCGCGCGGGAGAACGTCGCTTTTGTGCGTGTGAATGTATGTACGTGTGTGCGTGTGAATGTGTGTATGTATGTATGTATGTATGTATGTGTGGTGTGTGTGGTCATGGGGTCCCTATGGAGGGTGCATGCATGCATGCGTTCATGCAAGGGGTGCACCAGGATTGCCTCCGCTCACCTTGACAGTGGACTGGAAGTGCACATATACCTGGGCCTGAGCCAGTGCGGGCTGGGCGACCAGCAGCTCCCGATCCGCGTAAACAAGCGTGTCGAGAACCTACATCACGGTCGGGTAATTTTAGAGGTAGGGGTGTAAGGTAGGGGTGTGAAGGGGGTGGTATGAGATGGAGGAGGTAAAGGAATTGGGAGGTAGGCCGAGGAGTAGATGTATGGATCAGGATTAAAAAAGAATCGCGGGCCAGAACGATGAGTTTGGAACGGGCGCGGGGATATGGGGTGATGGTGCGGGACTGTTCCCGAAGCGGTGGGAAGAGCAGCAACGCATACTTTCAGAATGAGGCCTGACTTCCCAGAACACATGTTGCGCGTGTGGTAGGACAATACTTGGGGAAGGTGGCTTTTTCTTCAGCCCAGGTAAAGTGCCTGCTGTGCCCTTCGTTGCCGCTGAACCTTCCTGCTAGAACGTAACCACCACAGGTCGGCAGGCAGCGGGTTTGGAGGAAATGGTGGCGCTCCGATGCGGGCCAATACCCAGCGCGCAACGTCAGGATGGGGTTCCATAAACGTACCAGAGGCATTTCCCGTCGGAAAATGTAGTTGCGCAGCAGCGGGGGTGCAAGCCATCTCTCCTCGCCGCTTACGTGGCAATAGACGTGGAGAGCAAAGCCCGACGAACCGACGTTCACCCATTCTGCAACCACCTCATCGCGCAGGAGACGGGTGTAAAAGCCAGAGATCTGCTTCATGTTGTATTCCGGTCCTATCGTGAGCCGTAAATTGCCGGTGATGTCATTATGCGTCAACGTGTACTTGCGACTGAGCGGCGGAGCTGGCTCCAACACGGTGGTGCCCGCTGCAAGCAAGACCGCGAGTTTCTCTGGCTGGAAAGGAGGTGGATCAAACAGAGCCCTCGAAATCTGCAATATTCGATTGAACTTTACGTCCATCATGGGCGTTTAGGGCTCACTCCGAGCAAGCAGTCATGCTCACCACTCGTCGCCGCGCTGCCACAGCTCCACACCTCCTGCTATGTACCGCTAATATTGATGTGCATTGTGAGGTAGATGCTGAATAATGCGTTGATGTCCGCGATGCAAAGTTTTCTATTGGCTCATTCACAGGTCGGCCTTTGCTTACACAAACTGTCCGCCGCGAGTTGCAGGATGACAACCCTTGGGGACGCAGCGGCATCATCGGGAATCGTTTAGCCAAATTGTCATCCCAAGCGGCTTTAGGAGATGATGCAAGCAAGCACGAGGCAATGTAGGACGCAATCTAAAAGTCGATTTAGGTAGCATGTGGCAAATAGTATCGCTCACTACAACTCTTGCACCTGGGCAGGAAGGTCAGTCTACAGCGCATACTGCTGTACGGCGATTGGACGTCAGATCCCGTAGACACTTCCCAGCCCGCCAATCGCCATCTCACGCAAGGAACCGGGTGATTTTAGCATCACCTTGACAAGAGCACAGCCACACACCTAATCCTAGCACCCTTCCGCAAGCCCACCTGTCGGACACCCGAACATGCCGCTGCTGCTGGCGGAATCGCAAAAACAGCCGATGCCTTCGCACCCGCAGGATAGGCAAAAGGGATGTCGTAATGACACACCATGAGCATCCCGGGAACTCTTTACGAGCATTGACCGTATGCCGTACAAACGGTCATACGTGCTGCAGCTGCTCGACACGGCAAGGAAGATCAATATCATTACCTCCGTGAAAGTTTAGGGCATATATGCAACCACCGAAACGGCACCGTGCACATGCTTAATTACCCCAAGGTCGCCACCCGTGGGTGCGGCGGTGGAGCTGAAGGCAAAATTTTACTGTCTCGCCATGGGAGCCGTTAGCGAGCTACAAGCTAAACGACGGCATTAGTTGGTTTTCTTCTTCTCTTGCAGCAGAGCGTGCGCACCAGAAAGAGAGAGAGAGAGAGAGAGAGAGAGAGAGAGAGGGAGACCTTGTCGATGACCCCATCATCAACAGTGCAGACCGCCATTCAGCAAATAGAAAGAGCGGCAACTCAGTAATACCCACCCAAGGTCACAGTGAAGAACATCGCACGCGCACAGCCGCACCGACAACCCACATACTACCTAGTGTACAGGTGCTCTGCAGCTCTTCCCGACCACACAACACCCGGGCAACGCAGGGCCCCCCCGCAGCATAGCCGCTGCTGAACCGCGATGGCTTCATAGCCCATCCTGACCTGGGCAGTCTCTGCGGGGTTTCCGTTCCTATCCCCCTACGGGGCCCTATCCGGCTAGAGGGCTACGGCGTGTGAGGCAGCAGGGAGGGAGATCTTACAGGCTTCTTCCTCCGTTCGCCATCGCGCCGCACCCCGCTAGCATCACATCAGATGCCTCACCCCATGTCATATCCTACCGCGGTATGTTCGTTCTAGGGCAGCAGCACCAGCGAACATCAGCAACAGGTTCGCGATTCCCATTTCCAAGCCAACCCCCGCATGCACAGTACATCACGCAGACACCACAAGCCCAACACACACACACACACACACACACCGCACACCCACCCACCTTTTTCGTACATCGCTATACACCACCCGCAAGGTCATATGTTCCATATGTACTTACGAACACACGAGCGCGAAGTTCCCATCTATTAACTACGCTGAAGGGCGGAAATCCCCTCATCGAAGGCCCCAACACACCATTCAGTGGACCGACAACCCACCCACCCATCCACCCAGCGACCGCAAGGCCACCCCAGCTCTTCGCTGCACCACAAAGCGCTGAACATCTGGTCCCCATGCACGTTACGTTACGTCATGCCACGCCACGTCACCACTGCCGTGGCGCGGCCCGTGGGGTGCTCGCCACAGTTCAGTCAGCTAGGAAGGTCCGCACCGGCTGAAGCACCCCGTCGTGGGAGGCCATCACATCCCATTCACATCCCGTTCACATTCCCCACAGGCACAACTAATATAACCCTCGGAGGGCTTCGTAGCCACATAAAGAAGTAAACAAACAAACAATCAAGCAAGAAAGCAAGAAAGCTAACAAATGGGCGAAAATGGGCGTTGCGTGGAAGCGGGCAAAGTGACAAGGGAACAAGATGTAAGCCAGGTAACCCCCTCTCTCCTCTCTCACTCTCTCTAGATCCCATGATGGCGGAGGATGGAGGGACGCCACGATACTGCTATCATCGTAGTGGCTGCCTAGTTTGTTAGTTAGTTAGTTACTTTGTTCGTTGGTTTGTCAGCTAGCTCCGCTGCTGTACGGTGAGGTCGAGGTGCAGGTACAGCGGCTTGATGCTCAACAGCGCGGGCTTCTTGTTGCGCTTGTAAATGGCGGGCTTCTTGTACACCTGGGTTACGAGCAACACACAGCCGAGCAATGAGGCCATATGAAGGAAGGGGGCACACACATACAGCAAGCGGACATCACCATCCGCGGACTGACGCAGCATCGTAGCATGCAGCGTGTCAATCACGCAGCGTACCACCCACGTAGTGCTGCTGAAACGACCTTCCCAGTAACGACCCTGAAGCCCATCAGAGGTGATATCCCCCGGAGGACCCCCCACCTCGAGTGTAACCGGGCCGTTCTTGATTTCATCCATCTCCATGTAGCAATACGCCTTGATGCTTTTCTGCAGTCAAAGGAGAAGGGAAGGGACGGCGGACGAGAGGCGGCTCGGAGGGAAAACCTGACGCACAGCAGCCCAAGAGGGCCTCAAGGAGGCCCTCATGGGGGTGAGGTGGTTCTGGAGCTGCATTTCCATGATATACACCGAAATTCCGGGTGCACTCCGATGCTCCCCACCCAGCTGGGCCCACCTTGCTCTTTTTGGGCTTGAAGTGGCGAAACTCGAAAAAGATGGCGGACTTGTCCGACAGCTGGTTGATGGGCGTCTGTATGTAGACGGTGTTCTCGAAGAACACGTAGCTCAAGTTGGAGCGGCCCACCGGGGTCTCCTGCGCATGTCGAGGGGGAAATGGAGGGGGTGGAGGTGGAGGAGGTGGAGGTAGGAGGTGGAGGTAGGAGGTGGAGAACAAGAGACATCCATTTTCATCCACACGTCACGTTCTTGAAAGGCCTCACTACCGGCTCCCTGGACCCCATTCCGCTCACGTAATAAGGAGGGAGGTCATTACGTGCAGGTCTCCTAACCCCGCGCCCGTCAGCCAATGCCCTGCTTCATGCATCCCGTAACTGCTGGGAAGCGTACTACGATTTCGGATCCAGGATTCGGATCCAGGAAAGTCTGGATCTGGTGGCCTTCCTTTCCGAAACCGAAGCCACACCCCCTGAGGCCTTTCTGTTAGGAAGCGTCCTAAGAGACGCTCGGGCTTGCCGCTTTGGTAGTTCGTTTGGTTGTTTGGATCCTGGTACGACACCAGATCAGATTCAGCCGGGATGAGTTCATACATTATTCTTTCTCTCTTGTGTAATGATATGAGCGAGTGATTTGTTCACTGAAGGACTCGTATCACTGAAGGACACTTTCTCCGCCCCCCCCCCACGAGAGCCGGTTGTACCGCAGCACCCGTACACCCACCTGTACGGCCTCCACCGCCTGGCCCTTCTCGTCCCTCACGGACACCACGACTCGGGGGTCCGTGTACGACATCGCGTCCTTGAGGCCCCACTTCTCAATAAAGATGACCAGGCTGACGTCACCCCTTTGGTGGGCGGGCGCTACCCGTAACGAGCCGTCCGCATCGTCCGCTCCCGCGTCGTCGTCCCGGTCCTGCCGGATCTGCAGTACAACATGTGCGTGCGTGTGTGTGTGTGTGTGTGAAGGCGTGAAACATATGCGCGTCGCGACACGGGGAAACTGGGAGGAAACTCGCCCGTAAAGTACCACACATACACACGCACACAGACTCGACAAGAGAGAACGGAATCGACCTTCGTACCCCACACCCACTCCAAAAACCCCACACCCGCAGCCACACACACACATACACATACGTACATGCACACATACGAACACCGCATTACTCCACCCAGCCCCTCCCCACAGAACGCAGGATACGAACACGACGATTGCAGCCCAGCCCCTCAACCCCTTCCCTGCACATTCCCCCCCTGCCGCGGCCCCACCCAGCCACCCACTTCAGCAGGCCCCGCAACGAAGGGCGAGGGGCTGGGCGTGATGGTGCCCTCCGCCTGGACCCCCGACAGCGGAAATGCGGCTGGTGAGGGGAACGCGGAGTAACGAGCGCGGGGAGGGCCGGGGGCGGGGGAGAGATGTGGGAGGTTCGAAAGACGTGCGTGTGCCCACGGAGGAATAACACATGAACCGTTGACGGCCGCTGGCGGCACATGGGAACATGGGACACAGCGCGCTCGGGGTTCGGGGTATGCCAGCCAGCCAGCCAAGTTCTCCCAACGGCCTTGCCCTCCACCGCTTCTGGAGCTTTTAGTCGTTGTTGGAAGTCCTTCCAACCGGACTAACTACTTCCTTGACACGGCATGCACGCACGCATGCATGCACACATACAGACAAACACCCACCTACCCATCCGGGCATCCCGCCACGCCAACCCGCGGACAGGAGCAGCACTCACCGTCGCTGATGATGATCTCCTTCATGAAGCCCCGGAGGTTCTTCATGCTGGACAGACCAATGCTCCGGTTGGCACCCTTGGACAGCTCCTATCGGGATAGGGGGGGCGCGCGGGGGGAAAAAGGAGGGGGAGGGGGAGCAGTGTGTTGGCGGGAGGAAGGGCAGGAGAGCAGACACAGCAAGGCGCAGCTCGCTGTTACGCACCCTACAGCAGTAGGTATAGATGATAGGGAGAGGGAGGGGCTTGGCTGACACATTGGATTGCAGCGAGATTGGATTGCAGCGGGGAGTAGTTACGCCACGTTCACCACGGCGACCACCAGCACACGACAGCAGCGACGGACCCGCATGACGACCTCAAACGCCGTTTTCATGTCGATAAACGGCAACATGCGCAACCCAGACCTATTTCCAAGACCACCGGAAAAGGATTGCCTTGTGATGAGCTTCCCACGTCGCTAAGCAGCCCTCCTCCCAGCACCTCGCACACGCAACCCATCCATTTAAACCATTCCCCCCTCCGGGAGGGGTGCGGCGTCTGAGGGCACCTGATGGGACGCCATTACCGAATGGGGGTGTGTGCTCGTGTCCCGGGACATGCTCAGTGCCGCTGACCCGGTCGAGATGGTGGTCTCCATCGGCCCAACTGGGTGAGGAGCCACACCAGCCGCGCGCGGCCATACACATACACACACACGGACGTATCGCCTCGCATGCCGGAGCCCCGCACCCAGTAGTACCATCGCTTTGGACCGCAGCCGCAGTTGGTGCTTTGAACGTCGGCAGGTGGCTTCTTTTGCTCCTTTCGCATTACATGATGAATGGCATTTCCCATCCCCCCTCCGGGGTAGACGGCGAACACTTTCCCTTCCTTCCGCTGCGTCGCAAAGGTTTGCGGCCTTCATTACGCCGGGGTGTCATCTCACCTCTATCCGGTACTTGAGGGCCGTGGCGAGTTTACCGATGCCATCTCGGCGAACCATAGGTAGCTGCAGTACGTTTTCCACATACTCCTGAGGAGAGTGGAGGGCGGTGGAGGAAATCGTGAGCTTTGTCATGTGATCAGCGCGTGCGCTGGTTATCCGCGCTGTCGGTTCGCGCTACCTGGCTGTTCGAACCGGGGAGGAACGCGAGTAAGAAGACCAACATAGAGGACATCCCGTGCCGAGTGCTTGCACCTGTGTCTGCTGTTTTTGCCTATAGTACCGCTTGAGGTGACGCCAAATAGGTAGAGATGGTTCCCGTGATTGCACGTGTCCCACCATCCTATCGCCCCAGGTTTGAGCAGCAAGATTACCGCTGCGGCAGCAACTTGCAAGCGTTGGTAACCCTCAAGAGCCTCCTCGACCTGCAGGAAAAATGAAGGTCCTAATATGTGCGTGCCTCACACGAAAGTAAGTCATGCAGTTCCGCCCTTAGACAAACCTGGCCCCAAGTGTCGTAGTCTACAGCCTCCTGGAAAGCGCGGTCCCAGCGAGCCCGAGTGTCCTCCATGCTTTCGCAGCGTCAACGCACTTCGGAAGTCAACGGTGAAAACGAAACCAACTCCAAATGTTAACTACTAAGCTTATATAAGTTTGTAATTATAAGCACATACTAGCATTTCATAGGTGGAGCACGGGGTTGGCGACCACAGTTGCAGTGCAAGCGAAGACAGGTGGAAAGAGAGAAGAGAAGATCAAAGCAACCAGTTATGCATAAAATGATAAGGTTTTAGATATACATATGCCTTCCATTGGACTGCGTTTGCCTATACGGAGCCTTGCACTGCACATGACACATTATGTCCCGATGATGCTCCATACCCCAGCGGAGTGTTGCACAGTGCATTGTTGCAGTCCTTGACGGCCTAAGCATTTGGAGTGCATTTATTTGTTTTCTTTCACGTTTCAAAACAGCTAGACTGCTAAGCGGAACCGACGGCTGGGAGTTTGGGGGACGGCCAGCAGTGGCCGTTCCAGTTGTGTTGTGGAACCACTTGTCGGACCATAAAGTGGCCCTTCACCATGGTACGTGTGCATCCTGGCGTAACTACAGAAAAATGTTCAGGATCTTCACTACTATTGCGCGCTACACGAACGCAGAATCGCCTTACAAAACAGCAGAAGGACAAAATTACGCAGTTCAGAAGCATTACAGGAAGCAGGTATGATCTAGGGGATATGATGATAGATGCTCAGTGACGCTTGGCGCGTGACGTCCTGCTTATCTCCACTTGGGTGCGCAGCGAAAAGGCAGCCACAGAATGCCTGAAGAATGCTGGATGGGGCGTCGAGGCTGCCATCGACCACTTCTACACGTCGGGTTTGGCGACGCAGGGAGCGTCCTCCGGCGGTCTGGACCTCCGCGCCGTTGAGGGTCTCTACCAACGCTACAAAGGTACGCCGACCTCTGCGCGGAAAGCCTCTTAACCCTCTTACCTCCAAAACGTCCTGAGGCCGCTGCTGGCGAGCCCGGGGTGCCGGGGACCTCCATCCACCACTTAGTCAGCTCTCTGGTTCGTAGTTGCATCGTTGCATCGATTTCCGCATCCGTATTCAGCCGGAACAGCTGGCTACGTATGCCGTTCAACAACGCCGCCGGGTACAACGCGTTTCGCTGGCAAGCGTGATGCTACACATCGGCCTCCATCCGCCCCCCCGGGTCAAACACACCCGCATCCCTCTGCCCCCGACCAGATGGCGGCACTGTGGAGCCGAGGTGCTCCCAGTCACCCATTGCCTCTGCAGCGCCCCTCTTCCCACTGCCTCGCGCGCCCACCTCACTTCCCCGACCACCGCTCTGTGCTCGGTAACACCACCCCTCGTCGCCACCACCTCCAGGTTCACCCCTCCTCCGCCTCCTTCTCCGGCCCCCGAATGGCATCCGTTCCGCCCGTATTGCACTTTCACTTCCTCCCCCCTCCCCCTCCACATCCTCCACCTCGTCCTCCATCTCCTTCCCATCCTCCCCCTCCTCCCGCCTTTGCATATCGGCAGTCGTTTCTTTATCTTTTCCACCATGTAACCCCGTCCCCCTCCTTTTCTCTTGCGGGACTCGACTCTTCCTTGAACCGCCCACCCTCCCCCACCCCTTCCCCCACCTCACCTCTCAGAGCCTGATGATGACGTCATCTCAGTGGACGGCATCACTCGGTTTTGTGAGGAGCTGGAGGTGGAACCCACAGACATAGTGGTGCTGATCATCAGCTGCTACATGGTGCGGGGCTTGGAGGGGGGCACCGGCGTGCTGGGGGGAGGAGGTTGGGGGGTTGGGGGCTCCCCGCGTATGGTCGGGGAGTCAGGGGTAGTCGTGTGAGTGTGACGTTCTGCACGGAGATTGGAAATGGTCCGAGTCAGGCTGAGGCAGGGGTGACCTGCGGGCGGACAGAGGGGGTGAGGGAAATGTGCGGGTGGGGATGGGGAAAGGGGATATGATTGAAGATTTGGCAGTGGGGGGCAGTGTGCCGATCAGGTGGGGTTGGGGAGATCGGCTTGGAGCGGTGGGTCCTGCGCGGGCAGTGTTGTTATCCGGGGGTACACACGACCATAGCCACCAATGCAGCAGAGGTGCGTAGTACGGAGGAAGTGGAGCAGTACGAAGCCGTACCATGACCTCAGGCTATACGATCTTGTTGGCATTTGTTGGCAGCACGATGAGCAGTGTACGGTTCCCGGTGGGGCCGCTGTGCGGGTTGGGGTCCGTGCACGAGGTTCGGGTGGGTGAGTGGCGGCAGAGGGCCAGAAGGGAGCTGGGGGGGAGGGAGGAGGGGAGGGGAGGGGAGGGCAGAAGAAGGGTTGGGTTCTGGCCCTAGCAACCGCAACAGCAGCAGCTTCTGACTTTGATGCAGCCGCTGCCGTGCGGTGGCAGCCACCCCTCCACCCACCAACCCCCCAAACACACGACATGATGGCGGCGGCGGTGCTCGGCCCCCGGCAGGGCTAGGGTTTAGACACGCACTGGGGGGTGATGACATGTTGCGTTTGTGTGGTGGATGGCGTAAATGACAGAGTACAGCACAGAGACCGCATGTCCGTGCCCATGTCCATGTGGGGTGTGTGTGTGTGTGTGTCTGAGCGGTGGTTCACTGGACGAGGAAGGCCGCGGCATTCGGGAGAGAGCAAACACAGTCAGGCTCGTGGATGCAGGTACTCCTTAGGGACACCAACTAATTAACTAACCAACCGACCAACCCATTTGCCAACCGACCAAGTCTGAGCCCACCGCGTTTTCCCCCTTCCTGTCCTCACCTGACGTCCTTGTGCGGGCATGCATACATTTGTACGGCATTTCCCTCATCGCGACTCAGATCATCGAAATACATACATACATACATACCGCTCGTCCTCCTCCGGGCCCCCGCGCCCCTCCGGGCCCAGCTCTGTTGGACATGACGTGTATTGTCGTTGTTTTATTTTGCTGCTGGTGCTGGTGCTGGTGCGTTCAGAACGCGGCGGTGATGTGCGAGTACTCCAAGGAGGAGTTCACCTCGGGGCTGGTGAAGCTCGGGGTGGACAGCATCGACAAGCTCCGACGGAAGCTGACGGATCTGCGGTCCGAGGTGAAGACGGACGCCAAGTTCAAAGAGGTGTACGCGTTCGCTTACAACTTCTCGCGGGAGGTAGGCCGTGCGGGGGCGGAGTGAGGTCCTTGGCTCGGTTTGGAGGATAAGATAGGGTGATGGGACGAAGAGCATGTTTCCCCAAAAAGGAGCTCTCAGGCGTTCTCGTGGTGCGTATTACTACAGCTGTTCTCACGAAGGAAAGGTTGCAGAATTAGCTTTTTGCCTGGTATTGTATTTCGGAGATGCAACTACAGGTATATACATGCTCCGGCCCGTATATGGGCACTCGTTACGCCTCACTATCTGGGTAACGCAACCTGGAGGTGTAACACACACACACACACACACACACACGCACACGCAATTTTAACGCACATTTACGGTGCGGGAAATAGGGGTGATACCTTGTTTGCAAAGGCGCGTGTTGCTTCTTCCCTTCCTGACAGGAAAATGTTCTGTATTCGTCCTGGCCTGTCGTGTTTTGTTGTGTGTTGTGTGCCTCTCCTATCGCTCGCTATATATACACTCACTCCTGCAGAAAGGTCAGAAATGTGTCATGCTGGATACGGCTGTGGCGATGTGGCAGTTGCTGTTCTCGGTTCCGGAGCAACGCTGGCCGCTCATAGACGACTGGTGCGAGTTCCTCACCAAGCACCACAACCGGGCCATCTCCAAAGATACTTGGCTGCAACTGTTTGACTTTATAAAGGCAAGCGTGGACCGGCAACCGGACATACACACGCACAGAGTCCTCTAGCGCGTACCTGTACAAACAACTAGGGTTTTTTTCCCATCTGTGTCGCCCTTGTGGAGGATGCGTTTTGGAAACACACAAAAATATATACACGTGCCTGGTTTGGGACGGGGCGAAGGGGACACGGGGGGCAGGGTAGAAAAGGTGGAAGAGGCAGCATCATCAGGGACTGGACGAACGCGCCGGTTTCTCTGGGAGAGGTTAAAGGGAGGGTGGGAAAGTGTCAATGAGGCCGCGTAAGAGTTGCTGATTGTGAAATTAATGAAATGGACGTTCACGTGAACCTCTCCAGTTCACTTTAGCCCTCTGAACTGGTCCTGCCGACCGTTTTGGAGCGACCGACGGACGAACAGACTCGCGGATTGACGGACGGACGGACAGACTGACTGGTCGTCTGGCGGCAGCTGGGTACGCTCGTACGTACTTGCATGTCCTTGCGTGATAAAATATCCGTACGATATGCCGTTGACTTTGCTATCCTGTACTGCTGCTGCTGCTGTTTCTGCTGCCCGGCCCTCCCCTCCGGACTAACAGTCCGTCAAGCCCGACTTCTCCAACTTCGACGAGAACAGTGCCTGGCCCTACCTGCTGGACGAGTTCGTGGAGTACATGAAGAACAAACGGGGGGCCCAGGGGGGGCAGTAACCGCCTAGGACTGCATCTTCACACACACCATCGCCGCACGTCACCTTAACCCGACCCACCGCGGGTCGAGGCCGAGCCAGGTCAGACCCCAGGCAAGGCGGATCCCCCACCCAAGCATTCAAACGCGACCTGGGCCGGTTTTCCTATGCAATGAGTCCGAGTCGTTGTGTGTGTACGGGATGGGATGGTAGCTGTACACATGGGGGCAGGAAAATCGCGGAGGAAGCGCAACAAGGTCATGGCAGATTGCGTGGTGGTAGTTTGTGGTGGTAGGTGATTGGGGTGAGCTCCCGGTCGGTTGTGGAGCCGCCGCCATCTGCTGTGGCTTCGATGGTGGAGTTGCGAAAGGGGGCAGTGGGTGGCATTGGAAGAGGAAGAGGTGGCCCTCAGCGGTTTATGCGCTTGGAGTCCCTGTTCGTTGAGCTCCCAGTTAGTTCAGTGGGCGCCGGCGAGTAGCATCAGCAGCCCGACAACCAGCAGCGGCAGCACCGGATTCTTCCTTTATGACAAGACATCCCAGCAGATTGGAGTGGAGCGGATTCCTCCTTCATTTCGAGCTTGTCCGACGGCGGGGGTCTGTTTCTTTCGCATTAGGTAGGGGAGGGGCGTTGTGGGAAAAGGGGGAGGGGGGGACCTCAGCCGAGGGGGGCCGCAGTCGGTGGGCATACGGCAGAAGAGTGGAGTGGTGGAGCGAAGCGGGACGGGGGGTCGCCGTGTATCGGAAAAGGAGCGAAGGCTACTGCGCTACGCTAAAGCTTAAAGGCGGTGCACTGCGTTCGAAGGAGAGAGAACGGACATCAGAGAGAAAGCGGAGGGGTCTGGGTGTTTCCCGGGGCTGTTGGAGGAGGGAGGGGTTGGTTTCGCTAGTCGTTCTTATGCTTTGGATCTCCCGGGGGGTTCGTTGGATTTGCTGGAATTGAAAGCCAGGAGACGTGGATGGCTAAACCGCAGCAGCAGCAGCACTGGCGACACCTCCTGGCGGTGCGGGCGGTCCGGGTCGTGCAGCCGCTGGCTTTGGAATTGGCGGCACTGAAGCTGCGGGGCTGGACAGGAGGGAAGAGGAGGGGATGTAGGTCCTCGGCGGGAGATTACGGAGCCCCAAGGGCCCCCTCGACCGGTGCAGCCCACCGCCGTGCCTTCTGTGCGCCCGGACGGGACAGGTGGATAGACAGACAGACACACGGGTTGGTGTGCGGGGTCGGGGTTGTGGAGCGTGTGAAAGATGGCAGAGAGGAGGGCTGGGGTCTGAGTGTTTGGCGAGGAAGTGGATGCCAGGGCGGAGCTGGTGATGTGGGAGGGGAGGACGAGGTGGTGGTGGTGCTTGTTGGGATATGTCCCGCAATCGGCGCAGTGCGAGGCGGACGGCGGGTGGTTGGCGGGGCCCCTTCCTTGGTGGGAGGGAAGAGTCCCTGCGCCATTGCAGGGGGAAGGGAACGGACTGTGGGCCTTATGTTGAGGGCTCATGTGTGCTCCGGCGAACGATCACGGTGTGCACTTTCAGCTACTCCTCGGTGGGGGGCCATTGCATCCTCCCGTGGTAATTGCTGCTGTTCCGATCAACTTTCGGGTTGACTCTCGCGTTTGGAGCGAGGACGGACGCATGCAGGGCCAGTGCGGGGCCGCAAGGAAAAGCCCGACACACCGCATTCAGGACCCGTGCCGAGCGAATGCTCTGCTGTCCTCCGCTCAAACCCTTGCGATCCCAACAAAGGCCAGGGCCCATACGGACCCCAGTAACGACCGCTGTCACTTTCCTCCGTGCTGTAAGTTCCGCTGCGACTTCCTACGTGACCGCCTTAACCGAGTCAATCGTCCGCTCCGGGGCAGCTGCTCCACCCAACTCGTGCTCCCTCTGGCCGCAACGCCCCGGAGACCTGACCGAATAACTTCCTACACCCCTTCCGGTCCCCGCACACCGGACACAGCCCCCACAAGTCGCCCTCCCCCTCCCCCCTGTACATGTGTGACTTCCAACCACCTAGACGTGGTTGGAACCCGCACCTCTACCCAGCAGCAGTGATGCTGCCGAATGGTACCGGCATCGGCGTGGGAAAAACGAGTTCTCCGATTGGGTTTTGGTTTGTCGGGAAGAGCGCTGGGCGGTGAAAGGCGCTCTCGCGGAGGGGAGGACGCCCTAACGACCCGGCAGCTCCAGGCCGCGCTATCAGAAGCAGCTCTTCAGATTGGGAAACCCCCCTCCCTTCTGCTTACACAACATATCCAGTCGGGGAGGCGCTCCTCCTCTCAGAGCCCGGGGACGCAGGGAGGTATCCGAATTCCAATGTAGTTCGCCAAGCAGCGCACCAAGTCCGCAAATTCGTCCCGTGCAAATCCAAGAGTTCATGTAAACCAAGCATTAAGACAAATGCGCCAGAACGCTATGAGCAGTCTCAGTCGTATTAAGAGAAAGAAATACACAAAGGAAATGCGTAGTCTATACATAGCAATTAGACGATTAGCCCTCAGAAAAAGGCTCAGAGGCCAAAATCACCCGGGGTGGGCGAGGGGAGGGGAAAGGATGGGCGAATCGTACCGTTACCAGCTCCCTCTGCTGTGCCACATATACACACACAGCGGAGCGCTAATCCCCCTCGCCGCCTATACTCCCAACCCCCCCTCTACCAACTAAACGGGTGACCACCCAACTCCCTCACCCCCTCCTTCGCCTCCAACATGTCCGGAATGACATCCGGCCCTCCTCCCTAACAACCTTCTCCCGGGTACAACCACCTCATACAACCACCTCTCACACGCACATAGGCACAGACACACGTCCTAAGCGGCCAAGTCTCCGCCTCGTCGAAAACCGCAGTCACCGCGCCACCCGATCTGTGAAACAACGCATCATACCACCTCCACACGCATATCACAACGTCAATCCTCACACAGCCACAATGCCTTGCACAGCGGGTACCACAACACAACAAAACGCGCCGCACCACACCCGTGAAGTTTGAAGCCGCTGCTCGGAGGGGCCTCATCGTGCAACCCCCCGACGCCCCTACCACCAATCTGCCGGCCCCCTAATCAGCCCCCTCATCCTGTTCCCTCCCCCGCCCGTCCCCCCTTCCCCTGTGTGTGGTTCGTTTTTCCCCCCTTTCCCTCTTCCACCCCTGGCAACACAGCACAGACTCGGAACCGGGGGCCCCAAACCCCACAATTCGCAACATTACACTTCCCCAGGTAGCGCCGGCACCGCCTCCACCGCTTCAAGCTACCTTGTTAAACCTCATGCACCACCTCTTCTAGGGTGAAGGGTTGGACGAGGCCCATCAGGTGGGGTGTCCGAGGGGGAGTCTCTCTCACAAAGCGATGGTAAAACCAAGCCACACGCCTGTACGGCGGCAGCGGCGGTGGCGCCGCGGTCGCCCCTTCGGCGCCGCGACCTCCCCCTCCTGCGGTCCAAACCAACCGACCAACCGTCACCATCACCACCATTACCACACCGATCATGACGCTTAAGGGCTTCCTGTCTGCCAGGGAACCCTTCAGCCGTCACGCATCGGCCAGTCACCCGCGTTACTGGCCGATCTAACTATGGGTGGCTGTGGAGGAAAGGGGCGCTGGCCCTCTCGTTAGGTTCTGCTGCGGGGCAGCCGCTCCAGCATTCTCCAAGTTCCTCTCCCCCTTCCTCCTCCCGAGGGGATGGGGGGAAGGGGAAGGGGAAATAAACTAATGGTTTTCAGAGGCAGGCTCTAGCCTCACAAACGGGATGCGTCGTTGCCCCTCCTCATCCCCCGCCGTCCCGTTGCACCACCTCGGGTACGACGGGTACTTGGGAGACGTTCTGCGGCGAGGTGCATCACAGCACCCACCAACAAATCATGACGCCACACCACACCACACCACGCCAATAACGACAATGGCGACGATGATGATGCGTTTTCACGTGGTCTCAAACACACACCGACACACACACACGCTCTCTCTGGTGCTTGGTTACTTGGCTCATGACCGAACTTTGGGGCCTAGTCCGTCTTGGCGCCACACGTCGCTAATACCGCTTTCCTCTCCGCCGCTTTCTCCTTTTCACACACATACGCACGCGCACACGTGTTTATGCTCGCGGTGCTCCCCGGGTTGCCCCCTGACCGAACTGTCCCCTCTAGTTCATAAGTTATCAAAGCACCGCACCTCACGACACCCCGGCACCGCAAATTGCAGTTGTGCGTTACGACACACGCCATGCACACACGTCATGCAGCAGCACCCTCTTCCAGCCGCCACGCCACGCACATCACTCTACGCACGACGTCACGGCTCATGTGGGCCCCCCCTCACGGCCAGTCATTGCTGTTGTATGGGCTGTGGGCGTTACGGCTGGTGGTGTCCTCTTCGGAGCTAAGTCCCGCGTTCGCCTGTATGTGTATGGGAAGCCGGGGTTGAGGGGGGAGGAAGCTGAGCTAAAATCTCTCAGTGGTCTAGATAAAATTTCAAAAGATACCGGCGAGGAAGTGGAGGAGGAAGTGGAGGTAGAGGAAGAATGAATAGAGGGGACCGACGTGCGCAAAGCGGAACTGAAAGCAGAGTGAATGTCTCGTCTCTTTCCTTAAAAGATACGCTGCTGCGGGGGAGGCGGGACAGCTCAACGCGGGTCTGCCGTACCGTGCCGTACCGTACCTTTAAGGAACTGAAGGCGCCCTTGGGTTTCGACACGGAGGCGTGGATGTCCTCCCAGTCCACCTCCGGCTCCTCAGACGCCTGCCGACGTTGTGAGTGAGGAGGAGGGTTTTAGGGTTTTGGATAAACGACACGGCTCGGGGGGAGGGAAGGGTCCCCGTCCTCTCCGGGAGGGAAAGGGAGGGGTGCCCTGACGGCTGAAAGCGTGCGGGGGGAAGACGGGGAAGGCGGGTAAACATTCATGTCTGTCTGTCTGTCTGTTTGTGCCGTGTGTGGGGGGGAAAGGGGGGAAAGACGAACCATGAAAGGGGGGAAGTAGGGCCCCATCTCTACCCCAATCTCCCGACCCACTTCAGCCTCCTCATCGTCCTCGCTGTCGTCCCAGTCGTTGATCTCTGTGGGCGGTCCAAAGTCCTCCTGCTTGTCGTACACGTAGCCGGGATCCCCCGGCTTGAGTTGGTTCTTCTTGAAGTCGGACTCCATGGCCTGCTTGGCCAGCCGCAACTCCACCTCCGTAACCTGGAGACATGCAGCGTACATGTATACAGACGCACGTAAGAACAAAGATACATACATAAAGACACACATACAGGCGTGCAACTTGGGAGGAAAGGGAAGGGGGACAAGAGGAAAGCATCAAACTCAAAACGGGCAAGGCGGAAAGCGAAAGGGGAGGGGGAGGGGTGACACGTATGTGTATGTATATGTGCGTGCCGCGCTAGCGCGGCCGCGTAGCATGGGGCTTTTTCGGTCTGGTTTCATTAGCGCAGCCGAGGTAAACGCGCGGGTTCGCCTTCTCCACACCTCTAGCCTCCCCCCTTCCTTCTCCCCTCGCCAGGTTTCCGCGGTCGTCTTAATTGCATCATCCCGAGGTCGGTGGCCGCCTTCAAGAACGCCTGCTAGTCAGTTCTGCTCCTTGGCAGCAGCTTCACTCGTTCGTGGTTGAAATCGTCTTTTCACTCCCCTCTCCGGCCCTCCCCAACCCAAACCTCCACTTCCCAGGATGGGGCAATCCCCCTTCCCCAACTCCATACACATGCCCAGCAAACTCCCATGCACGTGTACGGCTCCACGGCCCCCTGCCGTACCTTATTCAAATCCAGTTCGTCCGTCAGCTCCAGTCCAATAACCAGCTTCTCCGCCTCCGCAGCGAAACGGGTCTTGCCGCCACCTCCACCGCTACCCGCCGCCACCGCCATTGCGGATGCCGCCGACGCGTCCAGGGAGGCCCCCGTCCGGCTGCCCGGCGGCGGCGGCGGCGGCGCCGTGACGGTCGAGCCCGTAGTGGTTGCGGCGGTCGTGGTCAGTGGTGGCAAGGGCGGCAGGGGTTTGGTATCCCGCAGCCCCGAAACCACCGAGGATGTACGGGAGTCCGAACCCAGCTCCGAAGAAACCCCCAGGGAGCCCGTGCCGCTGGGACCCCCGTGCACGACCATGGAAGAGAAGTCCGAGCCGGAGTCTGATAGGTTGGGTGGGTGGCGAGTACGAGACGAGGGTGTGAGGGGTGAGGATTGCTGTTGGGTGGGTAAGGGCGGGCGACAGGGGGAAGAGGACGTTAAGGGCCGACTATCTACATGATGCCAAGTCATGAAGGGAAAGCAACTGCCAAACAGTGTCCAAAGTATGACGGAGTGCGGCGGGCTAGGGTTAGGGTTGGGTGGGCAACTTGTTATGAGGTGGGAGTTCTAACGAGGTCCTCCGATGATGAAAGGGCTCTTCCCTCTTTTCCCCGTCCCCTCAGTGAGTGGGTGTGTGAGTGTGTGAGGCGGAGATCAGTAACCAAGCAGAGAGCGAGGAAGAGGAAGGGGAGGGGAGCGGGGAGGGAAGGGGAGGAGCGGGGAGGGGAGGAGTGGGGAGGGGAGGGGAGGAGTGGGGAGGGAAGAGAGGAGTGGGGAGGGGAGGATAGGAGTGGGGAGGGGAGGGGAGGGAAGGGGAGGCGAACAAGGCTGGTTTTGGGGGAAGAGCAAAACCCAAGAGAGTGATGTCGCTGTTGTTGCTGCCGCTGCCGGGTCCAACCCCCCTACCCACCCCCACCAGCGGCCCTAGGGCTCCATCATTCCGAACCGAGTTGCCAGAGACTTCAGTCCGGGACATCCAAACCCCCAACCACAAACCTTCTCTCCCCCCCTCCCTCCCTCCGTGCGCCCTCCGTGCGCCCTCCTTGTGTCCTGTGTCCAGGAGCCCCTGCCGATGACCCACATTTAATAAGTCCTCCCACTCCCACTCCCACTCCCACCCTCCCACCCACACACCGCATCTCCACCTCCCACGTCCTCGCCGACATGCGGTGCCCAGCAAGGCACCCCGCCAATTACCCAACCGCGCACCCCCGTCACATACCCAGAAGCCACTGAGAAAGACATGATAAGACAAGAGAGAGCATTCCCAACTGCCACGGGCCGCCGTTGCCCCGGCCACGGGCCGCCCAGCCACCCCTAACCAACCAGAACCGTGCAGCCACGAATACACACACACGCGCGCGCGCGCGCGAACACACAGAAACAACCTGCATCTACCCACCTCCCATTCCCGCCATTTCCTTCTCCAACTCGTCCAGCGCGAAGTCCAACCTGTTGGCGCCGCCACCGCCACCTCGGTCGCCACCTCGCCCTACGGCGTCCACCTCCTCACCCTCGTCCTCTTCCTCAACGTCGTTGCCGCTGCAGCGGCCGCTACTACCGCCGCCACTGCTGCTGGGGCTTGCCGTACTTGTCGAGAATCGACTCATGGTCGACTCGACGCTGCCACGGCAGTTGTCCTCCAGGCCCAACATGGCCAATCGCGCCGCCGGACCGTTCCGGGGGTCTAGTCCCCGGGGCGACATGGACGGTAGCGGCGCCGCTACGCCGGCGGCGCCGCCATTGCTAGCACCGCTGCGGTGGTTGAGATCCGTATGTGCACGGCTTAAGGCTTTGGAACCCGTGGCAACGGTGCCGCCGCCGTTGCTGCCGCCGCCGCCGGGGCCCAGCCGTGACGGCACATGTGAAGTAGTGCCGTTACGTGCCGGGCCAAGCCCATTAGCAACTCCCGCTGTTGCTGGTGTTGAGGGATTAGCGCCGTTTACTCCGTTGGATTCGTTGTTGAGAAAGTCAACCAAAGCGACCACAAGACGGCGGACCTGTACGGCCGGGGCAAGTACGGATAGGTACGGGTGAGTAAGGAGAAATAGAGGGCCCTTGGAGTTGGGTTTTAACGGCACCGCGGCACCGCCAGATTTGAGACGCGGATGCAATGGAGTTGTCGCATGGAGGGGATGCCGGCTTGTAGGTTACGGAAGTACGATGGTGGTTCAGTGGTTGGGCAAGCATGCAGGAGAATTGGGAGAGCTGAGTTCCATCGGAAGTCAGCCTTAGAAAACCTTGCATATTCGGCAGTGGTCGACCCTGGTAAAATCTGACTTTATCTGAGCCAAGTAGGGCAATGGACAGGCAACCGAGGCAGACCCTGTGGTGCTGCCCCAAGGGCCCAAAGGCCCAGACAAGCAATGAGGATGTATGCCGCGATGTGAGTTCAAAACTCATCGCATGGAAATTCCGGCACCAAGCGGCATACATCTCGAACACCACGGCTTATTTGAAGCGCTTGCAGCCTACTACCTAACGCCCTTGACCGCATTTGCATTGTGGATAACGTCACCATAGAAAAACATGCGACTTTCGGCAAGTCAAGCAGGGGAAACTGCAAAAAAGTGTGAAGAGTGTCCTTCAGGTCGGGCACTAACAGTATTCCTTGGCCATTACGAACCTGGTCATGCTTTACAGAGGTTGGATCAAGCCTCCTAGGAAAGCTCCTTATAACCTGCAGGTAATGGCATACCTCCGAAATGTGCAGGTTGCTCTGATACAACCCTCGAGCTGTCAATGCGTCCCACCTTCCGTGTTAGCCGGTCCACGTCTACATCAGCTTGAACTCCATTAAGCTTGACCTGTATAGAACCGTGCTGAATGAGTCCGAAAAAAAAAAGAAGCTTCCTGAAGAGGCCATGACCATTTGGGTCCCGCTTGTTGCCACCGAGCTCACCGCCCTGACCCGCCGATTCTTGGTTGTATCCTCGTACTCCAAGAAAATACATGGAGGTTGATACTTTAAAGCGTAGCGTTTCGCCTTATAGCTGGCCTCCTTCTCCATCGTCGCCTCTTTTCGCGAGCTCCCATTCTCAGCTGGGTTCACGGTTTGTTTAGGAACGGTGCTGGGCATGAGCTCTACAATAGCACCCTGTCCATATATGACCACATGGCTGAAGACCAACTGAATTCAACAAGAGGCAGGCTCAACGTTCAAGATCACGACTGAACTAATAGACATCGTGAGCAATCAAGTTACGCCAGAATTGTGAATAGTTTTTGCAGGAAACGCTGCGCCGTACGCGGGTGTTGCATGAGTAGCATACATCATTGTGATGTCGTTGATGTGCTCCAGCCTCGGCAAGAGCATTTGCACCAGACTTCCCCTGAATGCGTGTTACCCTTGTTGCGCGCTGGTCATCGAGCACGCCTTGAGATTCCTACATTATGACCCTTATGGTGCGACGACCCGCTGGCCCTTTAAAAAGCCTCCGTGCTGCCGCTGACTTAATCCCTCTTAAGCGACACCACACACATCTTTACAACGTGTGCAATTCAACTGAACCTCCCCGGCACATCTCCTCCTCTCGCTCCTTCGTCACCCTCCGACGTCACCACAGTCGCCGTCCGCCGTAGGAGCCGTCATTACGCCGTCAACAACAACAACGGCCAACCAAGGCCGGAATCAACAAGACAGATAATCTTCATTCCCGTCCATCAACTCCCAATCCCCGGTCGTTATCAACCACAATCACGCAGGGCGGGGAATTATTGCACGGCTGGGCCGCACAGCATGCACATCAGCACGGAAACCGTGACGTGAAACGCCACCGCACCTGCGCCTCCCCCCTTTTAAACTTACGACCGCAGTCGGCGCTTCAGCACTCTCTGCATCTCCGCCCAGAACAAACCCCCCACAGACAGCAGCAGCACATCCCCTCACAACGCCGCCGCCGCCGCCGCCATCATCCCCGCACCTGTAACCCACCTGCATTATCCCATCCGGTGCAGCAGGAAGGCCACCTGTCCCGTAGCATCTCAGCACTTGCAGCTTCATACCACCTTCGCCGCAACGAGCGGAAATCACCACTCACCCTTCCCCACAAGCCGCATTCATTCCCCACCTCCGAAATCGAGAGACCTGGCTGTGTTGTTCTGGTGACGCAATATTCTAACGACCGTCCAACCCTCTAGTAGGCAGCCCGGCTATGTGGCGGTCTGTATCTCCCTCCCTCGCCCCCCGGGCCCCACAGCACATTATTCCGCTAAAGCTCAACCCGACTCGCCAGCCGCACCGGACTACACCAGGTCAGATAGGACAGGGGAATCGGGGAATTGCAACATTAGCAGTATTGCCCTGCTGGGCGGCGGATTGCAATTTTGGGCTGTATCTTCTCCGGGCACTTCCTTCTTCTCTCCTTCTTTCCGAACCTCTTCTGCATGATGCAATTCCTCTGACCCGCTTCTTGCCCCCACCGACCCAAGATACTCAGGACGCAGGACCCCGCGACAGTAACATGTGACCAGGCCTAGCACCGGATCTGCCCCGCATCAGCAGGCTAGGCTACGGAGCCCACTAGGCCACTCCGCGGCGGCGGCAACACCGACAAAGCAATGGGGTATGAAATGCAGTTCGACGCGCTGTTTCTTTTCTAGGGCCGCGCGACCCGCGGCGCCTTCAGTGGGTCCCGCAGGTGCCGTGCGACATGATGATGATGACGGCGACGACGACGTGATATGACACGCGGCACGGCGCGGCACGTGGAGCAGCAGGTGATAAACCGGATGTACCCCGGACAGAGCCCCCCACCAATAAGGCCACAGGAGAAGAAGCGTCAACTTCCCAAATCCTCCGCAGTGCCGTGGTTCTTGCACATCGCGTACAGGTACATACTCGTGCAAACATGCACATGCAAACGTACACCACCTTCCTTAGGCGGAGGGAGTGTGTGGTGGCGGCGCCGGGGCAGTACTACGCGCTCCATCCCTAGGGGACCTCCAATTGCCTTGCCATGCTTGTTCGGCCTTTGCTGCCATCTCAAGACACAGGCACATACACACACGACGCACACACATGTCCACCGGCAGGTAAGTACACAGGTAAGTATTTACCACGCGTTTTACCACGCGTGGCCAAGGTGCTAGTTTGGGGTCCCTCGACACAGGGGATTTGCCATACCACATTACCACCAACCTCGATAGGGCCTCATCTGGACGATATATCCTTGTCCCCCTCCCGTGCTTTATTTGCCTGGGATTTTCTTGTCTTAGGGCTTGATCCAAAACTCTCGGTCCATACCCTCCCTGATCCCTACCTCTCCATCCATCCCATGCCCTTATCCACCTCTCCTGTTCGCCTTGCAGGCAGCTCTTCACCGCCCTCGGCTTCACCGTCACGTGTGCGCCGCCTCCTTCGCTCCTCCAGCATGCTGTCCTCTCCATCAACCGCCACAACTACCAGAACCGTACCAACACGTACGCCCCCTGTACCACATCCCCCATCCAGATTACAAACAATGCCCCACGTCCATCGCTGAGCCCGTATCCGGCGCCCAGTCCCCACCCGTCGCGCCCGCGGCCAGTGCGGTGGAGCTTGTGGGTCCCGGGGTAAAGCAGTCGGATACAGACATTCAGACGTTACCAGAATGCCTCATGGGTTTCGTGCAGGGTGCAGGGTCACTGCGAGGGGATCTGCTGGTAGCCCTGGTGGGTCCGTTTAGGCGGCAGCTTCCGCAGGATGTAGAGCACCCAGGCGGAGGGGATAATCTCACCCAGCGCGTAGTAGGCGATATTGAGCAGCGGGTGGCCCAGCATGTCCACCTCCAGGTCGTTGCGGTCGATAGCCGAATTGGCAATCACGACCGCCCTGCGAGAGGTGTGCGTGGAAGGCACGTTTGCGCGTGAGGTCAAATGCGTATTGTGTTCGGAGGTTGTGCGGGTTCAGCAGAGTAAACAGCAGCAGCAGCAGCAGCGCAAGTTAGGCTACCGAGAGGCATCCGGCAGATGCGGGGATGCCAGCAGTCGATGAGCTTGTCTGTCACAAGCTGTTCGTCTTTCCCGGCTCCAGCCAGCCAGCTCCGCTCTTGTCAAATCCAGCAACTACCGACAGTTTCAACTCGTGTGGGGCTGGGGACCCGGGTCTGGCAGGGTTGCCGGCGCCCCCGCGGCCCCGTCCCGGACCTCCTATGTAGCACCAGACAGGCGCGCACCGTGCCGTTGCATTGCTACCTCCCGGGCCTCCCGGCACATAAGGACGCCGGCAGCTGGTGCTCGGTATTGGACGTCGGCAGCTGCTGCTTTTCACTTTTAGATATATTTTTCCCACCGGGCCTCCCGCACAGCGGCCCTCCCCCTATGCATGGGGCCCCATCCATGCGCCATGTGCCAGCCATCGCCCTCTAGTCGTCGGCACCGCACTTCAGCAGGGTCACCCCTTTGCGACCCGAACATACGGCCCATCACACACGGCGCACCATTACGGGCTGTGAGCTCACCTGAAAGTGAAGCAGCCCGCACAAATGGATGTGACCAGCCCCACCTCCGCCAGCTTCTTTCGCCGGCCGCGAGACTCGATGGGGAAGCGCTGCAGCATTACGAACAAACGGCCACCGTACAGCAGGAAGCCTGCCGCCGCCGCCATGAAAACCGCCGCCAGCCACAAGTTGGATATGGTGTACGACAGCTCCTGAACGTCTGACGTCTTACCAAAGGTAATGAGGGCCCACAGGCCAGCCTTCGCAGCAGGATGAGGATATTCGCGGCAGGGCGAACACCGGCGTCGCGTGAGGGTGATCCAACAGTCCAGCTCGATGATACACAAAGAGCATGGCAGATAGCGGCAGGGGTGTGGCCAGACTTCACAGACGTGACAATGCGCCTTACCTGGTGCTATTAGCCCCTCTCTGAAACGGCCTTCCCAGCTGTCCCCAGCTTCAGTGCCAAAAATTCGTGTTCTCCTCCCCTATTACATTAATAATGGGTGTGAGGGGGTGGGTTCCGCTCCAAACCCCAACCACCCACCCCGACTGCACCCATGCCCTCCTGGGCCCCTCCCAAGCATTTGGTTGCCCTCGGGGTTCCTCCTGTGCTGTGCTGGTCCCCATGATCTCGGAGGCGTGTCTAGTCGTGCCCCGCCATCCCCGCGTCACCCCGCCCATCTCACCCGCTAACTGCTAGCCAGCAATCGCCCGGTGGGCGCGGGTGCACGCTGGACCTTCAAAACCCACCCCAACATCCGCAACACGCAGCAATGCTACACGTCACAAACCACCCGGGCGTGCATATGCACCTCTCCCCCCGTGCCATGCGCACACAACTTAGGAGTTGTTCCCTCCTTAAGTAATGCGTGGAAGGGCATGGTAACATGCGCAAATGCGGAATAAGGGCCCCAGAGGGAATTTTACGCACCAGCACTCCGTATACCACCAGGTTAATGATGAGGAAGGTGGGTCGCAGCGCGGCCGCGGGCAGGTTCCTGGCCTGCTGGTAGATCTCCGCCCAGAACAGCACCAGCAGCGTGTAGGTTGTGAAGAACAGCAGGCCTGCGGAACAACGGAACGGAGGTGACGCGCCGGTACGGCACAATTGGGATTGCAAGGCTACTGCTGGACTGCTGCTGCTGCGTGTGCTGCAACATGTGTCTTGTAGTTGCCAGACTCATACATACGGTGCATGTGTTAAAGAGGGTAGAGAACTGACGAGAAGGGAGTTTCGAATTGGGACCGCGTGCAGGTGATAGGGCCGAATTGCTGCGGAAAGCGGCGTGTAATGCCCGTTCATTGGATTGGCAGATGGAGGAGGCAGGGGAGGAAGGCAGGGGATGGAACGGCTCATGGCGGACTGCTTCCTAGTGTTGTGCAGTTACTGCAGCGGTTCCGGAGCAAGGATTTGAACGACGTGGCGGAGTGGTAGTGACTGAAGGAAAGAGGCAACGGCCCGATCCTTACCCGGTAGATCCAAGAGCATCAGCTTCGTGACTACTGGGTGCAGCCCTTCCAGGGCGGGTCGGAAGAAGAATACCGAGCATCGCAAGACCGAGACCAAGCAGTTGAGCAGGTGGAAGACTTTTTGTGTGGTCCACCCATACTCTGGCACCCGTAGTTGTAGTCGAATGAGTTGAACCTACAGCAGAAGTATTCACCCTGTTCGCGTGCGGAAAGCTTCCACTGGGGGATGGACTGCCCGGTCCAAGTAAACTTACGAAAGCGACGAGCCCGATGAGGCCGTATGCGCCTCCTATCCCATAATTGCTGTATATCTGAAGACTGTCGTTCTTCTCCAAGTTGCGCCACCTGCGGTCCTCGAGGCAATCACTCCGTGTCCTTAAAGCCTGCCCCCATCGCGTGGTTAGCTAGGCCAAACACGCCTCTTACCAGTGAGGGTATGGAAATCCTACGCTAAGGCCTGAGAGGGTCAGCGTCCGCATTTCCCAGTCCACCTAGGTGCTGCTATTCCAATGTCGCTGGGTAAAAGTATATACAGATAACACGGAAGCACCCCTTCACGGGCCCAAGCGTCTCGCTGCAACGCCACTGGCTAATGTCACCTGCCGAGAAAATTGGCAAAGTCAGCAAGCGTGCAGGCGTTACAGTATGACGTCCTTCTGTCATAATATGTTTTGTCTATCTCAGAAAGCCATGCCATCGGGTTGTAACCACCAGCGATGTGTAGTACTACCAACTGGGGAGGCCCTAGAAACCGCATTCCATTCCCATTTGGTCATGGTAAGGGCAACTCGTTTTCCACTACTTTCGAGGAAGTAATGCATGGTGAATATTAGCCTTTTTTATGTCTAGGTGGTTGTCAGCATAAAGACAACCTCTGTTGTTCCTTGTCTTGGTGGCGAGACACTATGGCCCGCGGACGCCTCGAGGCAGCGCAGATGGCTGCAGAAGATGAAGATGTAGACATTATAGAAGGAGACGTTGTTGACGACCTTGAAGGCGAGGGTAAGTGCTGACATACAGTCTTTCAAGGCGGCTGCATACCTGCATCGCTGTAAAGAAAATCTTCGGGTTTCGACGTATTCACGAAGTGCTTTCATCTGGTTCCCGGTCGCCGGCGGCGGCCGCCGGCGGCTGGCGATTCATATGTTGCAAATAGGCGTCTCGAGTCTTCCGCTTTTTCTCCACCAAACGTAGACCCTGATTATGGGAGTGAGGGCGAGGGTGATGGAGATGACACTCAGAGCGACGACCGTATCCGCACCGTGCTGGAAGATGACTCGTTCCACTGCTTTGATGGGCACCAAGGTAGGTGGTTTACACCCAAGGCTCGAGGCCCCAAACAACACTTGCAACCCATCAGCACCACAGTCCGACCCCACTAGTCCTGGCGGCATCGCTTGCATTTCCAGCAGTCGCAGTCCATCCCTCCCGGTCAAACGTGATAGCGACTGAGCTCTGTACTCAGCCTTCTATGCGCTATATTGATTATAGCAAGTCATTTCTTTTTATCGCTATAAATAGTCCCATAACCATCAACCTCGCCGCAAATGCTGCCATCGCACTCCTTTTAATATTCCAGATGCCGTGGTATCAGTAGCATGGAACCCTGCTCTACCTGATGTGGTCGCGACTGGTGGTTGCGACGACACGGCATATCTGTGGCGTGTGGGTCAAGACGCTTTTGAGGAAAGCGCTGGCAGCCTTGGTACCTACGAGCTGGCAGGGCACACGGACACGGTTGCGGCCCTTGCGTTCAGCAGCTCGGGTACCATGCTGGCGACAGCTGGAATGGACGGTAAGGCTCGGGTCTTCAAACATATAATCCATGCTTAGCGTAGCTTGGGGCTTTGCTAGCGGAGTGAAAGGGAAGCCGAAGAAGCTACTCCTGCAATGGGTTCCCCCTTGCTGGCCGGCTACTCCAGCCATCTGTACTAAACACGGTTTCATGTTTATCCTCCTTCCACCTCGTCCCGGGCCAATTCTTTTTGACATTCCCTCCCCTCCCGCGTTTTCCAGGCATCTGCAAAGTGTGGCGGGTGGCTGATGGTCGGCTGGTTCATTCCCTGGAGGGCAGTGGGGGGGCGTTGCAGTGGCTGTCCTGGCACCCCCGGGGGGAGGTAGTGGTGGCGGGCACGGATGACTGCATGGCTTACATGTGGAACGCGGCCACGGGGGCGGTCATGCAGGTGGGCAGGCAGGGTGGGGGGGAAAGCGGCTAAGCAAACGGTGGGGTGCGAGGGGAGGAGCCCATAACAGTTGTGTGGGATGGCCATGCAGCTCTCCGCGAAGAACTCTTCGTGTTTAGGTAAATGTAGGCGGGATGGGGGTTTTCTTGGGATTGCGGTGTTTGCAGTCAGTTCTGTGGTTCCCTCCTCTCCCTGACGACCTCCCGTTTTGTGGCTCGCCTTCCTACTTGGCATGTCTCGCCGTGCTTGGCCCATACCATCACGGTGTTTCCTTGCCCGTCCTGACGCTCCACCTTCGTGCTTTGTCCACATCCCTCCCCTTCCTGCTGCTGCTACTGCTACGCTGCTCCAGGTGTTCAGTGGCCACTGCGGGGTTGTTAGCGCGGGCTGCTTTACCCCGGATGGAAAGTCGGTGGTCAGTGTGGGTGGCGAGGATGACGCCAGTCTCAGAGTGTGGAACCCCCGGACCGGAGAGTGCACTCTCACGATACAGGTAAGATACGTGTACGCGTGAGTGCGCTTGTGTGCTTGTGTGTGCGCATAACTCTCTGCTTTAGATATCCGAGGGTGGTTGATAAATGGATGGATGTGGAGGAACGCTACGTCGCTACCGCTGTTTCGCTTGTGTATTCTTTTCGGGATAGCTTCTTCCCCGTATGCTGTGTGCATCTTCGCGTTTTCATCCCCTTCACTAGAGTAAATTTAACGTGATAAGACAGCTTTGGTAAGTCGGCGATCCCTCGTATCCAGCGTTGCAGCAGACCGAGCCCCTCCCCCCTTGCCCTTTTCCCCTTTTGTTGTAGGGCCACCCCTTCCACGACAGCGGCATCACGTGTTTAGGTCTGCATAGAGACGGTGGGGGGGCGGCCATTACGGGGGGAGATGACGGCTGTGTCTGCATCTCCAACATCGCTACGGGGAGAGTGGGAGGAAGGCTGACAGGTAGGCAAATGGTTCCTTCGCACGACGACAGTTCTTTGAGGAGATACTTTTGGTTTGGGATGAGGACAGTGCGAAAAGCTTTGCTGTGCGTGAAAGTCCTTACGTGTTTGGCGGGGGGGATGCATGGCCGTCCCATAGGCTGAAAGAAGGCATAGTCGGCCTCCCAACTATTCAGTGGGGTAGTGGTTTAGCAGCAGCTGCAGTAAAGGTCATTATCAAAGTGGCTTGTTGTGGCAATCGTGGCCGTGATGACGTAATTTACAAGTACCATCAAATTCCGAGGCACATGACGTGCCCTGACGACTGTTTTCAGCCTTGTCTGAGCCGCGACAGCATCTTAAGCCACCACTACTTGCTATTGAGCATTTCTTCAGCACTACGCAACTCATCACCGTCCGCAGCCCTTTGTTGTAAGGGAGTAAAGAAATAACCTTTTCGCCTTGCCTACAGCCGCTGGTTACTGGTGCAGTTCTTGATAAGTAGGATGATATGGCAGAAGTGGATACTGCCATCCGCCCTTACTCATTAGCCAAACCGCATGTGTAATTTGGCGACTTGCACTTTTGTTTTTACTTCCGATATGGCGTGGGTTGAGCTTTAGGGTTTCACTACAGTCCGCCTCGGCCGTGATGACAAGGTTTAACCTTGAAGGCGTGTGCGCGGCACTCGGCCGCCGCCCGCGATGCTGGTAAGACTCCTTGCCTGAGTCAAGAGCGGACTAGCTCCGAGGGCCCTGGAGGGAGGGTGCTTGCACCAGCGACAAGGGTCCAAGGGGCGGCGGCGTTGGGCAATAACACGTGTTTGCGCAGCAAGGAGGGACTTTCGTAGCCGCACAGTCGCGGCGCGTGATCGCTGTAAGGTTGACATGTGGGGGCGGTGTGGTCGGCTGGGGGATGGGGGCTTCTGTTGGGTCGGCGTAGCGGTGATGACGTAATTTACAAGTACCATCAAATTCCGAGGCGCACGACGTGCCCTGACGACTGTTTTCAGCCTTGTCTGAGCTATACGCCGATTTGTATTTTGTAGAATGGGGCAAGTCGTCCGGGGCCTGGAGGGTACCCTGCTGGCAGTGCGGGGGGTGGGTTAGTGAAAGTGCGGTGGTGTTCGCGTCGGGAACGGGTGATGGATGGCAAGGGGTTGTGAATTCGCTGGGTTCAAATGCCGGTACAGCGTGCTCTGACAGCCACGGAGTTAGCACACGATCTGGTGTGTCATATGCCGACGTGGATCATCACCATTGCAGTCGGTACTTTATAATAAACAATTAAACACGTTATTCCCTTCTGTTGAAAAGCAGTTGTATTTTATTCCTAAGTTAAGGGAAGCCGCCGCATGCGTTGCTCATAGGTTTCCGCCCTTCTCTTCAGTTATTTGGCATGCTTTGGGTCATATCTGATCTTACTCAGCATGCTTGAGCTATAGGATGGCGGAGTCGAGTGAACGCCGTGGCCGTGATGACGTAATTTACAAGTACCATCAAATTCCGAGGCACATGACGTGCCCTGACGACTGTTTTCAGCCTTGTCTGAGCCACCAACACCTAAAACCAGCACACAGCACTCTTGGTGATGAATTGTAGGGCAGGTAGCCGGTCGGGGCCTAGGGTTGCAAGGCAACCACCTCGCCTTGTCCTTCCGGAGCTTGTTCAGCCAATTGCGCCTTCCTTCTCGTCTCTTAACTCTACTCTGGCGTTCTTCCCACGTACGGCCTATTTTCCATCATGCCATCTTGTTCCCAACCGGCTCCCCTTCCCTCTTTCGGAATCCTCCCCTCAGGTCATGAAGATTCAGTGGAGGCTGTGGGGCTGTCTGCTCATCTGCCCCTGGCTGCCTCGGCCTCCCTGGACGGCAAGCTACTAGTCTGGGATTGTGGCACACTGAGCCAACGGGGCTGCTGCGAACATCCCACTGTGAGTGTATCGCGTGGGCTGTCTCAAGCCACTGAGATGCTGCCTCGCTCCCCTGTGATGTGGTGTGGGCCGTCTGGTCCTTGCCGGCGAGCCGTGCTGCCACTTAGGTGTCGCTGGCTTCCGGCGATAACAAAAACAAAAACATGCCGCGCCTTACCTCTCCTCCCTCTCTGAATCCGTCCTTCGACGTATTTGAGGCACGGCACAGTTGCAACGTATATTGTGTCGCGCCTTCCTCCAATTTTCTGCGCATGCTCCGGTGTATACAATACAGGTATTTTTCCATCGTTACTGACCCGCTCCTCATTCGGTCCTCCTTTCCCTGCCCCCTGCCGCAGTCCGTCACCCGGATGGTGTGGCACCCCACCGAGCCACTGGTCTTTACCGCCTGTCTGGACGGCGCGTCGCGTTGCTGGGACTTGCGTACGGCAACATGTGTACGTACGTACGGCGGACACGAGGATGCTGTACAGGACATTTGCCTGAGCCCAGACGGCTCCATGCTGCTCACAGGCGCGGACGATGGCACTGCGCGTGTGTTCAAAGTGCAGCCCTAGGTCGGTCCGCCGGACACTGGACCTAGGGGCGGGCCGCTCCATCGTGTGTGTGCACCACTCGGTGTGTGTATGTGTGTGCAGGGCACCCTGGAGTTCAGCACTGTCCTATAATTGCCTCGAGGCACTCTGGATTGGCCCTCGTTTTGGGTGCCCGACACATGCAGTCTGATGTTGCGTTGCGCAGGATAATCTATCTGATAGCAGAGGCAGATGCGGGTTCCTGGGCGCCGCTGGAGAGGTCGCCTCAAGGTTGTTCGGCTTGCATATTTTTGTACATAGCGTTCGGGATAGGATAGTTTTCAGGCGAGATGATGTCAGCCAGTCCTTGAAATTCGTTTCAGTCGATTACCAATAACTATGCAGGATGCGGCGTGAGAGCGGTGTTAATCAGCAGCATGGAAAACAACTGTGACAGGTTTAGATTTCGTATCAGCACTCATGTGGCTTTTGACAGCAAGAGACACGCATATGACCTAGTGGATAGTGTAATATTTGAGCCGTGGCAGCTGCTTCAGGGCCCAGCGGACAATAGCACGTCATAGCCGATTTAAATGTAACGTGCCATTACCTGTAATTTTGGAGGAAATGTGGCTCCTCAAAATGGCGTCCAGTTGACATGGCCTTTGCCCATTACGTTCTATGAAGGGAAACCGTACTCTCGATAAGTACCAAATTTATCTGAAGTAGCAGTTGTTCAACAATATATTTTCGCCCTTTGATATGCTTTGGGTTCGCCTTTAGACATGGCTGACGATTTCGCGAGCGCCATCCTGGTTGCGAGCGGGGTCGACTTTTTACCAAATTACAATCCGCCATGGCTCGTCATAACACAATTTCACCACGTTATGGAAGATGGGTATGCGCTTTTTGCGGCAGTCGGGCCTTCTTTTGCTTCACTGTCGTGATGGTGTTGATGATTTGTGTGGTCAAATTGAAATACGTTTATAGCAGCAGACAAAGAGGAACGCTGAGCAGTGTAGGTCCCTAGGGCTGTGTTCACATGTCGGGGTATGATTGCAAGCCCACTTTGTCCCGGCGATTCAAATTGTACTCGCATGCGATTGTGGCACAAAATATTCCACAGTCGCGATTTGCCCACGACAGCATAAAGCTGGGCAGCATTATTTATGAGTATGACTCTATAATTATGCCCTTTTCGATCGATGTCATAGTACAGGATAGCTGCGGCTATTATAGTTGCAGCAGTACAAGGCTGGCGATGACAATAATTGGCGAAGAATGCTCGGTGTTCAACTGGAAGTTATATTATCATAGGCGTATTTATGAGAAACGGTTTGTTAAACGGCCGTCTCTAGAGAATGACTTTCATCAACTTGCCGACCATATGGTTGACCCTAAAAAGGTGTCAATATGGAATTCGAGTTAGTTCTATTGTCGGAAATAATAGAAATAAAATTAGAAAACTTACACTATCCAATTGTTCTATAACAATAAAAGATAAATCTAAAAATATTAATAAAATAAAAATTCTAACGTTTGCAACCAGTAACGGCGGAGTAGGTAGGTTAAAAACACTTAAATATATAGGTGGTTTTAAATCAATTTCATTTTATTTGTGGGGAAAATTAGCTAATTACACTGAACCATACCCCAAGAGGCCCCACCAGACCCCAATCCCGATTCAGGCCCAATTTGCTCCGCCATTTCAGAGTCCCTGATTCGTTTACCCTTTCCTTGTCCAGGAGTGGGTGCTATTCATCTTGACATGTCTTGAAAGTGATAATGAAAATCAAATATACTATCTTTAGGACACTTAGAAGACACACACTTCCTATGCCGCCGCTGCGCCGAGGAGCGGCCCGCCCGTATATAGACCACATATATAGAAACGTTTTTGAGCCAAAGGGGGCCCCAGCGCAAAGGGTCCACTCCATAGGGTTGGCCATGTCTGTCTGTCTGTCTGTCTGTCTGTAACGGCCAAACATAAGATCTCACCCAACTGTTCAGCAACATAAATAGCTTTCCACATCTTGCTTTGCACCACCCTCCAGTCTTTATGACTGAGAAGAAAATCGTTGCGTATATATGAAGAACGCTCCTTGTCACGACAAGAACCACTTCGCGCTTGTTGCGCTCAAAACTTCATCCCTCCATTAGGTACCGTGAATCTTACAAACAATTGTAAAATCAGATGGCGGCGCCCAATAATTTGAATAGCCGCTTGCCGCAAGCATCGCACGACTTCACCACCATTATGGCAGGCCACAGGGGGAACTTTGCGTATCGCGAATGGCGAATGCATTTCATGTGTGGGCTGTCCTTCGCAAAGCAGGGTGGGCCCCTCTCCATCCCCCCTGCATAAGGAACCCATAAGAATGTGCATAAGGACCGGACGGGGAGCTATGTGGCCGGTAAACTGCGTGCAGTAGCAATCGCTCCGTCCCCCTAGTGTGCGTGTTCTCATTGGGTGATGCAGGTGCGGGGTTAAAAGGGGGGTCCGGGGTCGGAGGATGAAGCGCCTAACAGCAGTTGTCGTTCATGCAGCTAAGCAACCAGCCAGTAGGGGGATCAGAGGGGCCCCGCCTTCTTTCCGGCTTCAAGGAGCCGACACCGTATTTAACCGTTTAACAGATATGCAAATTTGTGGACTGACTTCATCAACCGCTGGATCCACAACACAATAAACAGCTGACGAGGCTCGTTGTCGTTCTCGTGGCCTCCCGCCTGTATATTCACTTTCACCAGTTAAAAAAGGAGGGAAACTTTTGGAGAGCCCTTCCCGGGTACCTCAGCCCCTTCCATCTCCCAAGGGGCTACAAATCAACAAAGCACTACCGGCACCACCAAGCCAGGCGCTGGCGGCTATTCACACAGACATATTAGGTGGTTCCTGGCTTTTGGTCACGGCAGGCAGCCGTCGGATTGCCTACCCGCATGCCGATATGAAACTCATGCATTTTCCCAGCTCAGGGAGATTCACGGACACATGGTAATTTGTTCATTCGTTCCATCACCACAAGCCCGACAGCTCTGATGCTGAGTAACCAATGGACCTAACGATTCATGGGTGAAAGTTACAGCTGCACCTCGGCGCTCGCCATTTCCCCGGGCTGAAGCTCTGCCCCAGTCAGCGCCTGCAGCACCCCCCAGTGAGCCACCAGCAGCATGCACCGCTCAGGCCGCCCAGCCAGCAGTCCCCGCAGAGCCGCTAACCGCTTCTCGTACACCTCTGCGGGCGGTGAAGGTGGAGGGCCCGCCGCCGGGGAATAAAGGATGAAGAAACATCTATGCCAGGTCATACACCCTCGCTCACACATGTTAAGGACATGCCTGTGCATCTTTGGCTCCCCTTCTTCCCCTAAAGAAGACGGAGTCCCCTAAAGGGGAAGACACCTTAATTAATAGCACTTAGCCGATTGGCACTGTACGTACAATCTTCATCTCAAGGATGCCAGGCCGATCAATTGCCTAATTCCAATCCCCCAGCTGCTAATGCATACAAACTGTTATAGCAGGATGGAACCCCCCTGAGGCGCTGAATCTCCTCTGAATAAAGATTTAGGCGTTAACAGATAAGGAGAGGGAAGGCAGTGAATGATTGGGCCTTCACGCATACTATCTGTTTGGCAAGGAGAATGCTTTAAGTGATCGCCAGAAAAGCCAGTACACTTAAGAATGGGGATTTGCGATCGCAAGATCGAAAATTCAAATAGCGCGGATGGTTAGTAGGCCCAGGTTGCATTGCCCGACTCTTCGGTTGAGTTCAAGTCCGCCCCCGGCCGGGTGGGGGTCACGCGACGCAAGTAAACGCACGCGTGGTGGGACCTGGCTGGGCGCGGCGGGTCGGTTGAACAGCCGACCTCATACCAGTGGACGGTTTCAGGAGTCTGGGAACACAAGGATACCGCACGGGGCCGCAAGCTGCGTACACCTGCGAGCAGAAAATACTGGTCCGGCCCCAGTAGCGTCCTCCAACCCTTTCATCGCTGCTCTCCCTCATTCATGCCGGAGAGAATGGTCATGGAGTAACCTTTCCTTTCTTTTTCATCCAGTGATATCACCTTGTGGCTCCCTTGTGATGCTCCGCGGGTCGGCCCCAGGGCCCGCCGTGTACCACCACACACTAGGCATGTCTGCTGGGAAGTGTATACTGTCAAGGGGGTGGTGGGAAAAGAAATGAAGCGACCAATCAGGGCAACGCCCCCCTTTACAAACGGAGCTAGCGACGCAAGCGAGGATACATGAGCTCCAAGACTTGGTGCCTGTGGGGACGTGAGATATGCAGTACCCGACTCCTGGGATCCCACTCCTTGTGGCCTCCTGCATCTCGATAAAGTCAGATCCTCTAAATCAGTTACTCTATCATCTCTATGATTGCTGAAGGACCGAATGCTGCACCGGGTGTACCGGGTGTACCGGAGTCCTTCAGCCCCAACGGAGAGAGCTACCGGTGAAGCAAGTGCCGCCCCGGCCGCACTCCGCTATACACTTAGGGAATGTCCAGCAAAGGCCACTACACCCTGCCCTGCCTCTGACCCCTCACCCCTCACCCTGCCTCTTGTAAAACGCTTTTCCTTTCTCCCCACCCCTCCTCACCCCGCCTCACCCGGGGAAGTCCCCCCTCAGCTCGCCGCGCGGGCGGCCGATTTCCGAGGACAGCACCACACGCTCGCGGAGAAGCGGCTCAGCCAGCAGGGGAACCTGCCGGGGTACCGCACTGTACGTATATGTGTGTGTGTGCATGAAGCGAGGGATGCATGAGAGAGCGATGGTGAGAGGGATTGCAAGACACGGCTTCTTCCACAGCAGCAGCGTACACATCTGTATGCACAGCCTGATGCAGATTACAGGTAGCTAGGTTATTGATGATATGCGTGCATGCTGCGTGTATTTGAAATGCTGGTGATCTGGGTCTCAACCTTCCCCAGCTGGACCCACCCGGGTTTGCTCCACGAGCAGCTCGCAGGCGGCGACTGCAGTCTGGAGGCAGCGAGTCAGAGGCGATATGAGGACCACCTCAGGCCGGGGCTCCAGAGCGGCCACTCGCGGTGCTATATGCTGAACTTTGCGGAGGCCTTCGCGTGTGAGTACGGTGTCGTACATCAGGGGATCACGGAGCGGCTCCTGGTGCGGGCTGCCATACTTGTGCAGCGCCATGTAAGCGGCCATTTCTGTGGCGCCATGCCGGATGACATGGAGGACCTGATGGCAAAGGCGGCGAGGCGTGGCGCAAATTACTTTTAACGATGGTGATGGTGTAGCTAGCTCGGTATATTGAGGTACAATTTTCGTGAAGAGGGATGATAGTTAGGTACTCGGGTTGCATACACTTGCCGATTTCGGGAAGTCGGGTCGTGGTTGCTTTCGTTAAAGTTAACGGAAAGGAACGGAAGCGCAGCGCCCTCAGTTATCACTTGGAATGTACATTTTTACCTTTGAAGATGTTCTTATGCTGCCATGTAAGGAACTGCTTGCAGGTTTGACCCTCGGCTCCCGGCCCTGGCCTAACGACGATGGCGCTATTATGCCAAGGCCTTTCCCACCCATGTAATTGAAGGATTTTTACTTATAATCAGGTACGTTTTATCTAAAATACCTGCTACGCGCTTTCGCCAGCTGTATCGTTGCATCGGTAAAAAATAAGGCCTCGTCTGAAGACTGAACTCACAAGCAACATCGCACTTACCTGACCATACACTGCTCATGTATATGCAAACCGATGGCGTTCAACTCGTAACATCTTATAGTCTTAGTAGGCTCCCGCTCGTCTGGTGCAATTCCAGTTGTGTGGTGGTCCTAGGCGAGTGTGCCGTTGTTGATATTTTCCGTCCCGCACCTAAACCAATTGCACACTTAAGCTGACCGATCACTCCTAAGATCAAAAACTCCGGGGTGTCAGGAGGATGCAGCACAGCATGCCCGTCGCCAGCACGGGGACACGCTGCCTGGCCGCTTCCCGAATGCTGAGGACAGTTGCAAAGCAGTACCTGCCATTCCAGCCGTCTCTCGCTCCGCCTCGACCGGTGCTCTGGGCGGTGTCTCGCGGCGATGTTGCGCCTGTCAGAGCTCCTTCAGCTCATGCCGTCCGACGTCTCGACGTGCGGACGTGCTGCTCCAGCTGCCCCTCACCCGCACCAAGCTCCAACCCTCCTAACCAGGACTACTTCACAATCACCACCCCGCTTTACTACGTCAATGCAGGTGGGCGCACCTACCGAAATGCCGGATTTCATGGGGACACCTTAATCGGGGGCTTCCTCCACACACCCAAACCAAACGTGGCCCCTGCAAAAGCCCTCCATGCAGCCCTACCCTACCCATCGTTCCACCTCACTTTCCTGCGTCATTACTTCTGCCCGTCTTTTCCCCGATACCTACCTACCTGGCCTTGGGCTCGCTGATCCTGAGCCCGCCCGCGCATCTGGTTTTTCAAATCTGAGGGGGCCCCCTGTCCTGCCTTTCCTCGTCCCGCAGATCCACTCCCAAACATCCTCCGATCGTTCCTATACACACCCTCCCCTTTTCTGCCCCCTCCCCCATCGTTTTGCATGTGAAACTATCCCCGCGGTCGGGTCACCCGCGGCGCACCCCCCTGGGCCCGCGTCCCTACCGCTGTCGACGTTCAACTCTCTCCATGCCGTATCGTACGACACGACAGCACCCCACATGGGCAGTGCCTACCCTACCATCGCCGCGGATGTGGCGTCTCGTTTTCAGGTGTTGTACGACGGGGGAAAGAGGAGGGAGCGGGCTCCAGGGGGAACGGGAGAGTGCTCAATGACGTGCGTGCCCTCGACATCAACCTCTCCCGCTCTTACCCCTTCCCGCCCTTTTCCTTCTTCCCGCCTCCTCTCCTCCCGCTACTGCTACTGCTACTGCTACTGGGGATGCTGCTCCGGCGGGGACTACTCGGTGCAGCGGCTGCTGGGCAAGCGTGTCCGCTTCCTGACCGGTACGGACGAGCACGGTGAGAAGATCGCGGCGGCGGCCTCCGGGAGGGGGCTCAGTCCCCAGGAACACTGCGACGACATCGTGGCGCAGTACACTGACCTGTGGGACAAAGTAAGTTTCGGCGGGGTCGGGGGGCGGCGGGGTCGTGCGTGTGTATGTGCATGGGCAGGGTAGGGTAGGGTAGGGTAGGGTAGGGTAGGGTAGGGTAGGGTAGGGTAGGGTAGGGTAGGGTAGGGTGGGGTAGGGTAGGGTAGGGTAGGGTGGGGTGGGGTAGGGTAGGGTAGGGTAGGGTGGGGTAGGGTAGGGTAGGGTAGGGTGGGGTGGGGTGGGGTAGGGTAGGGTAGGGTAGGGTAGGGTAGGGTAGGGTAGGGTAGGGTAGGGTGGGGTGGGGTAGGCTAGGGTGGGGTGGGGTAGGGTGGGGTGGGGTAGTCCCGAGGTGACTTATCCCCGACCAATTCAAGTCCTCCAAGTCCTCCCTCACCCCGCCATGACGTGTCTCGGTCCTAACCCGTGTCTCCACGGCCCCTGAACACCCGGTACAACTTGCAGCTTGACATTCAGTACGACAGGTTCGTACGTACGACAGAATCTCGCCTTGCGGAGCTTGTGGTGGATGTGTTGGTTCGTTGTTGGGAGCGAGGTGACATATATTCTGCTGACTACGAGGGGTGGTACTGCGTGGACTGCGAGGAATTCAAGGTGGTGATGGGGGGGTAAAAGCGAGTGCGTGTGTGTGGGGGGGAAGGGGGAGCGGGGTCGGGGTCGGGATGTGCGCTCTGGGGTGGGGAGAAATGCACGGGGTTACGTCACAAACGTGTTGTCATCTATCTTCATGAATGTGTTGACATCGGAGCTGTAAAAGGCTGTACAGAGCTGGGTGTGCTGTCCGTGTGTTGTTTGGGAGCACAGCTTGCTGCCGTGATGCACCAGACTGGTACTCAATCAGATCCTGACCCTGTGAGTGGCCATCAGCTAAATTCCCACCAGAGCAACCAGCTGCCGCTAACTGCCCACTTTGGCTGCTCCCAGGACGAGAAGGAGATGGTGGTCCTGGCCGGGGCGGAGGGGCAGTCCGAGTCCCAGCCCAGGGGCTGCCCCACACATCGGAAGCCCTGTCAGCACCGTAAGGAGGTGCGTGTGTGTAAGTGTACGTGTACGTGTACGCTGTATGTATATGTATAAACACACATGCATACATACATACATACATGCATACATACATACATACATGGAGAGGATACTAGTTCCTTCGGCATCACTCGCATAAAGTCACCGCAAAGCCGCTAACAGAGACTTCCCGCAAACCCCCCAACCTCCGGACTCGCCGCTTTGCATGCCGTTCACGGTATCACGGCTACGGTGGCTGTGACGGCGGCGGCACCCGGCTCTCGTCTTGGTGCAATATTCACACGCACGTGGCGTCCTTTACCGTTGGTTGCCGGTTGGACGAATTCGTCAGGCCAACTACTTTTTCCGCCTGAGCAAGTACTCCAAGTGGGTATACGAACCAATATACGAGTCTGTGCGGGTCTTCGCGTTTTCTTACTGCGGGGTGCTTGAGGAGAAGCGTTTTCTCTTTGATGTTTTCAGAGGTCTTCCCCGTTAGCCACCGTTAGCCGAAAACCGGACATTTCCGTTGTCTAACGTGCGGAAGGACAGTCCCCCGTGAGGCGTCCGCACCTCATTCAAGGATGGGCTTCACGGCCGAGATCGGGGAAGCGCCTCTGAAAGGGCCTCTTTGGCAGCTGCTGTGTTTGGGCTGGCTGGCCTAGCTCGGGCTGGTGCTGGTGCTGGTGCTGGTGAAACACGTCCATTCCCCGTATGTTGTGTTTGCGCTTGAAAGGTGGAAGAAAGGGAACTGACTGTCCCCTGATTGCCCCACCGGGCGGGTGGACGGACAGGGAGATCGAGGAGCTGCTGTCGCGGGAGGACTTCGTACAGCCCGCGTCGCGCCGGAATGAGGTACGGCAAGTCCGTGAGTACGGCGTCGTACTACAACAGTTGTGACGCGTTGCCTCACCTGCTGGCTTGCGGGTGTGGTGTCAAAATGGGTGTGGTGTTACCGCGTTTTGAATCCTACACACCAGCTCCTTCGTGTCCTCTGTTAATTCATCCCGGAGGAGGAGGACCTTTCCTCCTTCCGACCTTTCCTTTGTTTGGCTTTTTCCCTTTCCGCCTTTCCGGCGGCTCTCAGTCCGACCGGGTGCCCAATGTGCTTGTGCTCGCCTGCTCGCCCCTCCCCCGGGGGGCCCTCTTTCGCCGCTGCCGTGACTACCGACGACGTCGCCGCCATGGCGCTCGTCACATGGTGGTCGTACACGCCACGTGTTTCTGCGGTACGGCTGCAGCTTATGTCGTACGTCCGCGAGGGCCTGCGCGACTTCTCCATCAGCCGTGCGGCAGTGGACTGGGGCATCCGTGTCCCACAAGACCCCAAGCACACGGTGTATGTGTGGTTTGACGCGCTCATCGGTGAGAGTGGGGCGACCCGTGGGGCGTCCATGGCCGCTATGATTGATGACTCGCCCGTCGGTCGGGATCTGTGGTCGGTCCGTCTTCCCTGCAGAGCCCTCTTCCTGCTGGCCATGTCCACTGGTAGAACTCCCGCATATCTGTGGCGAATGACCCATGGGTCAGCGATTGACCCTGCTCGGTATGGCAGGGGTCGCCGCGACTTCACCTTACCGCCCCTCCCCCCCGCTAGAACCCGGACCCGCGTCCGCCTCTACGGCTGCGGAAGTCCGTGCCCCGCTCGGGCGCCCTTGCCAGTACCAATACCCCTACCAGCACCAGCACCAGTACCAGTACCGCATCGTAGGTGTTGTCTCCCCAGCCCCCGGCCCTGGAACCCCAACCCACCCCCCACCCCGTCCAGGCTACCTGTCCGGGCTGCTTCCCCCCGATGTGCCCGCCACCACCTCCGAGGTCCCCGTGCACGGCTGGCCCGCCTCCGTACACGTGATCGGCAAGGACATCCTGCGCTTCCACGCCATCTACTGGCCCGGAATGCTCTTGTCGGCGGGACTGCCACTGCCGCAGTGAGTTGCGGTCGGGGAGGCGGTGGGAGGGGGGTGATGGCGGTGGGGAGTAGGCGGGGGACTTGGAAACGGATGCGGGTGATGTGGGTGGTGGCTCTGTGGTACCTCCAGCACGCGTTGGGGGGCCAGTGTGGATGTGTTTGGTTGGGGCTGTGCGGGTTGTGGAGGTACGTGTGGAACTTAGGCGCGTCATGACACCTAGATTTTCTGTGAATACATCAGAATTTCCTGCTTGAGAATATTCTGCAACCGCATTTTTTAGGGGACGACGACTCCAGTGAGCCATGGGTAGCTGTCGGGGACAGTCAGCAGCCGGAGCAGGTAGACGGAGTTCCAGTACACGACACGATCGCGAGCACGTGCGCAACCCTTGCCAATTTCTTCTTTTACGATTCAGATCACTAACGCATACACACACATGCACACATGCACACATACATACATACATACATACATACATACATACATACATACATACATACACAAGCACCGCAAAGGTGCCAGTCCCATCCCCGCCTATTGCACCCGCACGCTGTTTATCCCTTCGGGTGGTCCGTCCTTTACCGAGCTGAGCTGGACCGTACGGCACTGCACCCCCCAGGCGAGTGTACGGCCACGGCTTCCTGACCAAGGATGGTCTCAAGATGGGCAAGGCACTGGGCAACACCCTGGACCCCCGGGTGGGGCGGGGGTGTGTGTGTAGGGGTATTGCTGTTCATGGAGGAGGGTATGAGGGGGAAGGGGGCCCCGCTCGAAAGGGCAGGAGGCCGGGACTGGGTCGGCGATGAGTGAGCCAGGCTTTCAGCATTTTGTCGCCTTGATTGTAACAGCGCGCGCGGCAAAGCCGATATCGCGGAGGTAGACAACATACATACAGACACACCACACGTGCATACAGAGACGTGCAGGCCCCGGAATGGCGGGTTGGGGTCGGACATGCGAGTGTACCTGGCGGCTTGTTGCCGTTGGTGGTGGTGTTGGTGTTGTTTCACGGATTCCCCGGGAACACCTGACTGACTGCCAGTCCAGTCCAGGATAGCGCATATCCACGTATGTATGATGTGTGAAACAGGGGGGTGTATCTTCGCCCGTGGCAGCTACCCTGCGAAACCCTGCCTTCCCCGGTATTTCGGGGCACCCTCATCCAGTCACCCTAGTCAACTTCTCAGTGGATCGCTCAGGTTCCGCACCCACCACCAGCATCCAACGGAATCTGCCGGGTCGACAGCGGCCCAACTCCGTTCCTGGTCGGCTCGCAGGTTAACTTTATCCCAGGTCACCACCGTCCATCAACTAGGGGCGCAATGCCTTCCACCATCGGAAGGACTTTTGACCCTAATGGGTATCGATCCCGGGATCTCCCGGGGGCAATGGTCGCGCCTTACCAGTAGTATGTATGTATGTGCGTGTGTGTGTGCCGCAGGCACTGGTCGCAGCGTACGGTGCGGATGCCGTACGGTTGTACTTCATGAAGGAGATTGTGTTTGGGTGAGTCGGGTCTTATACAGCAACATCACCGTTATCGCCACTGCGGTGCACCACGTACGGATATCCGATACCCGCGGAGCGAGGGACGAGGAGACCGCATCCCGCTGAGCTGCAACTGCCACTCTAAACGGCTGCTGCCAGGACCCATTTGCAGGCAAACAGTGATTGTGAGCGGGACTCCGTCCCCTCCCCCTCCCCCCCCCCCCCACACACACACCCACATCCGCAACCTGACACGTCCAAACCCCCGACAGCCAAGACGGCGACTTCAGCGAGGTGCGATTCCGGGATGCGGTCAACGCAGCCCTCGCCAACAACCTGGGCAACGGTCTCAACCGAACGCTCAACCTCCTGGCCAAGTTCCACGATCGGACCATTCCCGTGGACGCCTGTAAGCGGGGTGGCGAACACACGCTGGGAAGGGAAGGGAAGCCGCTGACTGGCGGGCTGGGAGGTAGAGGAGCTTGAGAGGAGCACCCGAGGGGAGTTTGGGGAAGTGAACCAAAAACTGTAGGATGCGAGGGAAGGTGAAGAACGGGAGCTGACGGGATACGGCAAGGTGCCGTACATGGCTCGGGTTACTAGAGCCTGCGGTGGCCACGAGGTCCATGAGAGGCGGCGGAGGGGGGTGGGGGGGAGGGGTGGGGTGGAGGGGGGACTGGCGCCAGTGGCACATGTTCGTCCCGGGGCACGACAGCACGAAGTTGTTACGGCGACACGTCATCCGAACGACACGACGCGATGCCAGACAGCTCATTCCTAGTTCGTATGCTAACATAGAGCCCGTGTCCCTTACCCCACACAATACAATGCAGTAGTTCCTTTTCCTCGTTTGCATCTTCACTCTGTATCATGCCTCATCCTATCAATCTTCCCCCTCCCCCTTCCCCTCTCCCGGGACTGTTTGCATGTGCCCTTAGCCTCTCTGCCCGCGGACCTGCCTCTGAGGCAGATGGCAGCGGAGCGCCTGCCTGCCGCCGCCAGCGCCTACAGCGCCCTGTCCTTCCACGAGGCGGCTGAGGCGGTGCTGGCGCTGGCCTCACGGAGCAACCAGTACCTGGAGGAAACACAGCCGTGGACCAAGTTGAAGAAGGTGCGCGGGGGCCGGCTAGGGTTTTAGGGATTTTAGGGTTTTTTTAAGGCTTTACAGGGCTAGGGGATGCCCCGCGAGGGGAAACTATAACAATTACATTTGCTGCGGTGAGCGGCGTGTGATGGAGCTTTCCTACGCGACATCGTCTTACAGTGCAGCACAAACAGACACGAATTCCTGGATCCCATACGAATGCGGGAGCGCTAAGAAAGCGCTCTGCAGGCGACCTCTCTTGAAAGGCTTGTCCTCAGGTCGCTACCTGAGAGGTCAGCGTGAGAAGCTGAAGCTGGGGGAGGGGGGTGAGGTGAGGGGCAGCCGGGGGCCCGGGAGGCGGAGGCGTCCTCGTGTTGCCCATCCCCTCTCTTCTGCCCCCCAGGACCCTCCTCGCTGTCCCACCTTGATCCATGCCCGATCCGTTTCGTTTCGTTTTGGCGGGATTGTCGGCGTCGTGGATGCTCTGGCGGCGGTGGCGGCTAATGCTGCGGTTCCCCGTGCACTTGCTCTTCCGTGTGCCGTAGGGCTCGGATGAGGAGAAGGCTGAGGCCGCGGCAGTCCTGGTCGCGGTGCTGGAGGCGGTCCGTATCGTCGCGGTGGGCCTGGTCGCCCTCACACCCGGCCTCAGTCGCAGGATCTACTCGCAGCTGGGCTTCTCAGAAGAGCAGTTTCAGGTGAGATCCGCAATTGCGGGAACGAACGAAAGGGGATGGGGAACCAGGGGGACTGCCTAGACCTCGCGCATGTTTGTGTTTGTGTGTTTGCACCTGCGGGAATGGCTTACAGAGTGACGTTGATGGAAAAACATGGCGCGTGTGTGAAGTAGACAGATTCGCAGTTGCTGCTGTTGTCGGTACAGGACAGCTACAGTGACCGTGGCGGAAGTGTTTGGGCAGCACGGAGGAGCTGGGGGTGACTGGCAGAGAGATGTGAAGGACCGGTGAATTCGCAATGCCATCCTCACCCGACACACCCACTCCTTGCATCCCACGATGGCGCCACTGGGTAGGTAACCCAGACCGACCCTCCTCGGCCCCCAATCCGCAGGCGCTCAGCTGGGCAGATACGGCGTGGGGCGGGCTGAAGGCGGCTCATCGAACAGCTGAGCCAGCACCTGTGTTTGTGAGGCTAGAGGCGCCGGGGGAGGCGGAAGCGGCGGCCGAGGCGGCGGCGAAGGCCAAGGCGACAGCGGCGGCGGCAGCGACTAAGCCCAAGAAGGCCAAGGGGGGGAAGGGCGCGGCAGAGGACAAGAAGGCCAAGGGGGGGAAGTCGCAGCAGGGGCAGGAGGCACAGGCGGCGCAACAGGCGCAGGAGCAAGCTGCAGTGGTGTAGAGGGAAATGGGAGGGGTGGGATCACACGGTATGTGGTTGATGTGGGTATTAGCACCCTGGGAAGGAGGGTCCGGACATGTCTTACAAAAATGGCTGTGATGACTGCAGGGCGGAGTCCGGGTTTTCTGCAGCGTCCTTTCAATCCAGTGAAGATGTTCAGTTGGAACGGCATGCTGAGTGCGAAAAGGAACTCGTGACTACATGCGCGGATATTTCGGGGGACTGTGCTGTGTACTCCTTGTCTTTATTTGCCCAAGGGATGTAATGGTGTGCGCTGTTGGCATGGCCTAGGATGTGGAACCTTTTGCGGTTAGTTGTGACTAACGGTGGTCGTTTACGCAACTGCGAGCTGTGTGCTTTAGGGCTCCAAGCAATCTGTTTTAGGAATACGGATGTTAGCTGCCGTTTTATTATTACACCAGTGCTTTATATGAAGCTGCTTTGGACGAGTTCCGAAGTGCTCCATGTGATAGTGAGCGGACACTGCCTTTCCATGTTTACGACAGTGCGGAGGTGTTTTTTACGGCTATAGTACGAGCAGCGTCTACAAAGCTTGCGATTGTGGGATTACTAGCCCACTGGCCTGGGAACAAAAATTCTACCCCCAGCTTGGGCGCGCGCGCGGGCCGGGCCCAGGGTATTAGTGCAAAGGAAAGAGAAAGCCACCTGGCGACTCGCTTAATAACCAATCCCTTAGTCACGGGCATAAGACGTAAAGATAGTACATCCACTCAGAAACCTGCGGTGCATGAAACCCGTTCCCACCGCGAAACCTATGGCTTCACAGCAAGTCCCAATCCCAATCCCAAAGATGCAATCACGCGCACTGTAAAAGTAATATACATACCTTGTAGCGCCAAATCTTTCTCACATTCGTAGGCGCTATTTGTTTAGTGCCGGCTTGAATACAAAATGTTGATCGAGTACAATCCGTCATAGATTCGGCCTAAAGTAAAGACTCTTAGCAGCCGTGGAATAATTTTTGTATACAGCTCACGGGGGATAGCATGCACGTTCCTCGTCTGCTTACCGTACAGTAGGACGGACAAGTATGCGTACGTGCTACAAGTGTTTTTGAATGTGCTTCTCTCTTACACGTATGGAACGGATGACTTAATGTAATCAGGTCGATAGGGTCCTCGAGAGATTACCAAGTATCTACCTTCCGCGCACCTAATGCACACGCCATTTGGGGCGTTATCACAAAGGCATTCTAGTTACGTTTTGTAAATTCCGTTGAGTTTAAAACAAACTTGCCTCGATGGACATATCGGCTCTGTGGACTCAAGCAGTCCACGTTTTCTCCGTGAAATTAAAGCCTGGGACGCCGGAATTCGGCCTCGTCTTCTACTTACCCCTAGTGTACTGGGTTGTTGCGGGCTTTTATGAGCTGCTTGACTGGCTGAGGCTGCCGATGACCGAGAAGTACAAGCTCAATCGACGGGAGCCAGGGCGCGGGAACACGATAACACACGGACAAGTCGTAATCCGTGTCCTACTGCAACAGCTTATCCAGACAGCCCTGACCCTAGTTTTCCTGGTTCTCGACGCCGACATGTGTACCCGCTGCGCCGACGTCGGCAAGACGACTCTTCATCGGGTTTCGCGGTTTATTCTGGGAATGTTCGTTATGGACACCTGGCAGTACTGGATCCATCGTACCATGCACACCAGCCCATTTCTCTACAAGCACTTGCATTCCGTACACCATTCACTCATGATTCCGTACGCAAGCGGTGCGCTGTACAACTCCATCCTTGAAGGCCTCCTCCTCGACAGCCTTGGTGGTGTGGTGACCCACTATGCGGCTGGCCTGGATTGCCAGACTGCCTTGTGCCTCTACATTTTCGCAACCATCAAGACGGTCGTGGACCACAGCAACTACCGCGGCCCCTTCAACCCCCTTCACGGCCTCCTTCCCAACTGTGCTGCCTACCATGACATCCACCACGACGTCCGTGGCATTAAAATGAACTTCTCCCAGCCGTTCTTCACGCATTGGGATTGGCTGCTAGATACCTTTTTGGATCCCGCCGGAATGCACGTCACGGTGAAGGAACAGGCGATGCAGCAGCAGGACGCGCGGAAAGCGGCAGCAGAGTCACAGCTGAAGGTCACGGAGAGCAAGAAGTCCCGATAGTCGTGATGGGGCCTCCTTGCGGCGGGTGGATATGGTAAACATGTCATGGATTCGTTGTTAGAGTTGTCCTAATATGGATGCGGTTGTATGTCAGACGGGAAAGTGTGTGTACGTGTTTGCGTCTTGTCAGGGCAGGTGCGCGTGCACTTTGCCCTACTTTGCGATGGCCCTGATTGACTTGTCTAGGAGGCACTGTGTGATGTGCGGCCTGCCGTGGGGTTGTTGTGAAAGTGTTACACCTTGTACGGTATCCGGGGAAACTTATGTTTCTTAGAAGTGCTTCGTGGTACTGACACTGCCGGTTTTCATTTGATCCGTGCTCGTGATGCATTTCATCGTTTACAAAAGCCCAGGTGGGTCCTAGTTAAGCAATGCCGGCTGTAGAGATTGTTGTTAGACGAAAGGACGTCAATACTAATTGGCCGGTCGTCGACTATCCATCAGCCATCGCCTTCAGTATAACTTGCCGTTCTGCGTCGCTTTTTTGGTCTGTTCAGTATGTTGGCTTAATGTTTGTTGAAGGGGGAGAAGTACAGTTTGCCCTGGATGGACCTACTGCACTGTGTTGGCCCCCAAACGAAATTGTATCAAACGCTTGTTTTTTCTTGGGAGAAATCGTTCGTTTGTTGTTCTTCTTCTTTGGAAGCGATCCCATTTGCTAGGAACCTGGGCTGGGATGTGAGGGAGATCATATCCGCTTTGCGGGTCTGTGTACTTAGCTGGTTAGCTTGTCGAGGAGGATGTGTGACCTCCTCTGTACCAGGAGCTGCGGTGTTGAGGTAGCGCTAGACGGTGGTAGGATGTTGGATTAGGCATCAAACACCGTATGTTTGTTGGCCGCGCATGGGACCCCTTCGTTCTATTTTACTCCTAGACGGTCTCGTCGGGTTGACCCCATCTCGTTGCAAGTGCAAATCTTTTGCCAGAGCGAGCACGCAGACATACTCTGCGAATCGGGATCTTTGTGACTGCTTTTAGTACTTGCAATTTTTCCCGTGCGTGCAGCATTTGTTGAACCAAAGCAACCAAAAACCGACAGCTGATAGTCTCCCTTCGGGCAGCCGAAACCGACTACTAAGGATGCCCACCAGACATCGGCGAAAGGAGTATTCCTGGTTTCGGCATGAGCGGGTCCATTTTTGTCATATTTAATTGCCGGCCCCGGCTGTCGAGCGGCCCACCGGACCGCAGAGGAGCTTTCGATTACGGCAGATGGTCCTGTTTCTGCAAAGGGTCAGCTTCGGGAACTCTATTCCTGTTTTCGGGAGTTTCGGTCAGCCCGAAGTGCATAAAGCGTTTGTCGATGTCTGATGCACACAGAAATGATCAATGCGTATAACGTCTTGACTTGGCTGTATGCAGATGTTGTACGTGTCCCTAGCATGTACGTGTCCCGTCAGTTGCATCGCTGCGCTCGCTTGGGAGCCATGTTGTACACCTCCATGCCGATGTTAGTAAGACAAACAACGGGGATGCTGTGCCCAGCGGGTTTGTTGCTGTATGATTATTATGCATAGTTTATTACTTTTTTGTATCTGCCACTGCTTTTTAAAAGTCTGAGTCGAGCACAGAAGGCTATGTAGGTAATAAGTATATATTTAATTTTATATTAGGGAACCGCCCATCAATTCTTTTCCTAGGCAGAACGCACGCTCAGCAACGTTCGCTCTTTGCTACTCTCCATCGGTTGGTGGTAAAATGCCAAGGCCGCTACATGAAAGCCAATGAATCAGAAAAAGGACCTGGAAACGATATTGTTGCGAATTGATTGGGAGGTCCATAGCAGCTTAGTCAGGAAGGCTTTGGAATTTGCAAAGTCAGCCTTTACCTAAAGGGAAACCATCCTGTGCACTTTCTTTGGAGCAGACTTTGTGTAAAGCTAGCACTTGCCGAACGGTGAAGCCAACTGCCAACCAGCCTTCTTGGGGCTGAAAGATGACTGTAGCGGTTCCGCCGCCACCGGCGGTGCCGGCGTCGGCACTGTATGAGCCGAGGACGACCATGGACGCAGCACCGTTGCAACGACCGCCTCATGCTGACATGGCCTGGGAGTGGTTCCGGAGCATTGGCTCTCCGAAATTCCACGTGGCCCCGATGGTTGACCAGGTGCGTGTGATCCTCTAACCTGACTTCCCCCATTAATGACACATACACAGGGCCGGCGCATTGGCACTGCTGTAGCACCGTCTTAATCCTCACTTAGCGCTCGGCCTGATGCCAGCCAGACTGCCCTCGCTGCTGTGCCCGCCGCACAGCCTCCGCTTTCCTGCCCCCTTCCCGGCCATGAACTCCTTATTGGGGCAGCGGTGTTGCTGCTACCTCTCCACCCTCTCTTCCCACCCACCCACCATTCCTTTCCTGTCCTTCCGCAGTCTGAGCTGCCCTTCCGGCTGCTGTGTCGCCGGCACGGCGCCACATGCGCATACACGCCCATGCTGCACGCAAGGATCTTCAGTCAGGACCGCAAATACAGGTCAGGAATACAGATCGCGTTGGTTAGAGGGGAGGAGTAGACACCAGCAAACTGCGCAAATCTGTTTCGACCACATGAGGGTACAAGGTCCATGGACGTCACAGCCGCTTCTTTCCCCTTCGTGTCATCGGTCCAGGGAGGAGATGCTCACCACGTGTTCCGAGGACCGGCCCCTGCTGGTGCAGTTCTGTGCCCACGAGCCGCAGCACCTGCTGGCAGCTGCTCGCCTCGTGCAGGATAGCGGGGTGGCGGATGCCATTGACATCAACTTTGGGTGCCCCCAGCGTATCGCCAAACGGGGCGGCTACGGAGCGTTTCTAATGGACGACCTGCCGCGAGTGGAGTCACTGGTGCGGGTGCTGGCCCAGGTGGGTCATGGGTACGAGCGGGTTGAGGAACCGGCGGGAGGGGGGTGCGAGGAACGGGGGAGAAAGGGCAACCTCTTTTCAACCCAACCCCACGCACCGCGCACACAGCTACTTGGATCTCCCCACACCTGGGCCAACCCGACTTTTGCATTCGATTCCCCACTCCCCCTTCCTCCCCAGAACCTCCGTATCCCCGTTACCGCCAAGATCCGCATCTTCCCCGATCTGGCAAAAACAGTCGCCTATGCAAGGATGGTGGAGGCGGCGGGAGCGTCTCTGGTGGCCGTACACGGTCGCCTGAGGGAGCAGAAGGATAACAGCTCCACACGAGCGGACTGGGACGCGATCAGGGCGGTCAAGGCGGCGCTCAGCGTGCCGGTGCTGGCGAACGGCAATATACGGCACCTGGGTGACGTGGGAGCCTGTCTGTCGTACACTGGCGCCGACGGCGTGCTGTCAGCGGAGTCGTTGTTGGCAGACCCGGCGCTGTTTGATGTGCCGGCGAGGGCGTCGGTGGCTGTTGGAGATGTGAGTGGACGGGGTCGGTGGGTTTGTGGGTGTGTAGGTGTATACAGGAGGTGCGGCGGGTGTTATGGCTAGGCTGTTGGGGGAAAAGGATAGAGTCTGTAGAGGGGGGGGAGGATGTGAAGCTCCAGCCCCCCATAGACCTTGGTTATCTGGACCCCGCTTCCCTAGGAGTCACCCCTAAATGACCTTCCTGTCCGTCCGTCCGTGTCCCCTTGCCACATCAGCAACACCATTAACCCATTACACGTTGTGTACTCATACGCCCCTCAACCCCTTTCCTTCCCATGAACCTCCCCGCACCCCCCCCCTGGGGACCCAGTCTCCTCTCTTAACCCTCCACCCTCCACCCTCGCTCCCCTGCCCGTCCGCCAGTATTCGGCACCCCCCCTGGAGCGTCTGTCCCTAGCTGCCCAGTACATGGACCTGGTGCGCGCCCACCCGGTGCCCCTGCGCATGGTTCGGGGGCATGTGCACAAGATGGTGGGCGATTGGCTGGCTGAACACACGGACCTGAGGGACAACATCAACAGACTGCCACCCACTATCCAGCTATTCTGCCAGGTGCGTGTGAGGGTTTGTGGGGGGGTTAAAGAGGTGTGTGTATGTGTTTATGTGTCTCGGTTTGCGAATGACCCTGTCCTGTCCCGTCATGCGTGTGGTGGTCACATACACTGCGTCACTCATTGTCGCCTTGCCAGGTGTAGTGTGGCGCCCTGCCCCCTTACATCTTGCTCTTTCTTACTTTTGCTGCTGATAGAGCAATGCTAGCTCCTCCAGAACACATTCCTCGTCCCTCCTCTCCCGTTCCCTGCGTCGGCGAGTTGTGGGTCATGCAGGTGGTGGAGGAGCTCCGTGTTCGTGTGGCTGCCAGTGGTCGGGATCACCCGGTGCCGCGACTAAGTGCTGCGGAGATGGCGGCGGCAGAGCGGGAGCAAGCCAAGCAGGTGCGTGCCGGGATTGGGTTTGGCATCTCGCGGTGTTTCCTTTCTGCCTTTCCTGCAGCCCGTTTCATCCGCATACCTTCTGGCGGTACCCCCCAAACGCTTCCTGCAGCTTGCTGTCGTCCAATTCTCCGCTGGGGCTCCTCATTCCCCGGCATTTCTAGACAAAGATCCTTTAGGTTTTGTATAAGGGAGCATCGATTTCCTTGTTCCACATAATCATGCATGTGTTTCCCCTTCCGACTCTCTTCCTCTATCCCCATACACCGACCCAGGCCGCCATCGAGGAGCAAGAGCGGGAGGCGGATGCATTGGACCGGTTGGAACGGAGGGACTGTGGCGAGAAGGGGTGCGAGGGGGAGGGGGGAGAGGAGGACCTGGTGATTGACTGGAGTGACGGGGCGCTATTCACGTGAAGGAAGTAGCTGCGGTAATGCTGTATAGAGGTATACAAACCTCCTTGTGGAGGTGGGGCTCCCCTAGCCAAAGACCACCGGAACAAGGTCTGTCCTTGTGTGATCCATGGGGCACCATGCAGCTCAGTTTGAGCTGGGTAACACCCAATGGGAAATGCACAGCGCAACACGGTAAGGAGCCCAGTGCCGTCCTGGCGTGAAGAGCGGTACCATGGTTACCGCTAACCGCAGCTGAGGTAGCCGGCATGGGCCCGCTCTACCTGGCCTGGGGCTGGGGCGGTAGGGCAGAGGATGTGATTGAGCTTGCCCGTGGATATCTATGTGGGGTTCGCCTGAGGTACGTTCAGGGCGTACGGCGCGCGTGTGCTGGCTTAGGTTGACATGTGGGCGAGGGTGTGCTTTTGCATAGCGAGTGGTTGCAGAGGGTAGCGTAAACAGTATGTGAGGGTGATGTGTTAATGAGCGATGCACAAATGTATGGGGACATGGTGTGGAAGGGTGTGATTTGGCTAGATGGCCTGTTTAGAGGAGAACGTGTTGGAGAGGAAGGCGCGAAGTCAGAGTTGGGGGACTTCACTGCTTAAGACTTGGCAGGAATAGCATGCCTGGGTGCACCTGACAAGCGAGCCAATACAGCAATTCTTCAGCAGAGTGGAGGATTCCCACGAAGCGATTTACCACGTGAGAAGTACATGCTGATATTGATAAAGGAATGACACCATTGTCATAAACGTAGCCGAGGCCATGCGGAGCGTGAAGGGAATGTAAGAGGTCGGATCCAGGTTCCGTATAGATCGAAGAAACATTCTTCCAGAGTTCAGCGGCTGTTACCTTTCCAAACTAATAACAATGAGAAAAGGCTAGCTGTTCGAATTGCGATCAAGATACATGTGATTTACAACTGTGGTGTCGCTCAACAACGATGCGGTCTGTCAGCCCGCAGCCGCGCAACAGCGTTCCAAAGCCACATGCTCCATCTACGAAGGCTAAGAGTGGTATTCCACGGCTCGATGGTGCTGGTCAACAACGACAAGCCTCAGCACTTCCAGAAGTGGTGGACATGGACGTATTTTCTGAGAATCAGCTGCTAGGACGCCTAGTGCAGGACATGCAGGTTCGCACGCTGCATTATATCATAAACACCGTATGGTGCTTACTTTTTTATGTGTTTCTTCCTGCAGGCGAAACTATCGTTGTCCGCAGCCGAAGTGAAAAGGCTCTCCGAAGATGTGCTTCAGCGAGAAGGCGCCTTAACAGGATTGCATGGACAGCTCGATCGCTGTCGCACCAAAATCGAGGATTTGCGGAATGAGAACGAGGCTCTGCGTGCTGCCAACGCATCATTAGTGGACGCGCGCGATAAGTGAGCAAATGAAACGGCCGTAGTCATTTTTTCATGTCGCACATCTTTGAGACCAACGTACTGGCAAACTGCAGTGTCCATGCTCAGAAGATGCAGCTGGAGGGCGTCGTGGTGGACCTGACACGGCAGCTGACGGAGAAGAGCAGCGCAGCCTCACAGTTGCAGGGTCGGTGCGATGAGCTCGAGCAGCAGCTCCAGCAGCGGCGGGAGGGCGGCGTCACTGCGGAGCACATTAGGTAAGGCTGAAGCATCAATCTAGCCCCTTTGTCCCCGTTCTCCAATTAAAGCTCAGGTTTTCTGTTTGAATCGCTTCCGCTCATTCCCCCCAAACCCAAATGCGGATTTACAATCTCCCAGCGGGGCGACTTTCCTTCCAATTCGTTTGCACTTTCCGCTAACTCTCTTGTGCTCTCTGCAGCCAGCAGCTCCAGGGGGTGGAGTCCATGTACCGCAGCCGCCTCGAGGCCGTCAAGGAGGAGTGTCGCGAGAAGCTTGCCGCGCAGGAGGCCACGGCGCGGGCACGCCTGGTAGAGGCGCAGGCGGCGGCGACCCAGATGGTGGCCAGCGTCAAGCGTGCGGCAGTGCGAGAGGTGCAGCGCGCTGAGGCGTCCCTGGAAGGGAAGGTATGGCACGTGATGCGCAGCTGCACCGGGGTCTTCATCAGTATGCATGCATGTGTGGGATTGGGGAAGGAAACCGCCCTGCCGACCCTGAAGTGAACCGGATGCGAAACCAAATGCCCGTGCACTTTACGCATGAGGGACTGAGGAAGCGGCTTGCCTTGGCTTAGACACTTGAGATATGGATGCAAGCTGATAGCAACTGCGCGGTGCAAGCAAAGGAGCTGCACGAGGCCTGGCGGGGCATGGCAATGGCGTAATCGCTCCAAGTGGCGAACGGCTTTATTTGAGCGAGCTAGAGGTGAAACGCAGATCATATCCGCACATAGACGGCTTTTTCCCAGGTAGCCAAACCTGCCCGAGGGGATGGCGAGGATTATCATGGGCTGCGTGTGTTCCGTTTCGGGATCCCCAGGTCCAGGACCAGCAACGTGTATTGGACCAGCTGTCGAAAAGATGCCGCGCACTGGAGGCCAGGACCGCGGACATCCGGCCGCTGGTGATGGCAGCAAGCGAAGCTCGAACGCGTGTGGTCGAGCTGGAGCAGCAACTCCGAACGGCAGAAGAGGCGGCCGATGCCGCCGCGGCGGCGGTATCCGAAAGGTACGAGTTCCAGGGTGCATTGAAACATCCGACCCATGTGCAAGTGCTCGTATCAGGAGGCACATGCATGTACGTTTGCCTGTTGTACGTGCACGTCAATTGCTGCCGCAATTCGTATGGGCTTTGTGTCAGCGGGCATGCGCTCCACGTGCCTTGGCCTCAGAGCTGCGGTATTAGGGAACCCGGGCAGGTAAGGAACCGTGAAATGCTTTGCGTTACAGCCTGTGGCACATATCAAGGACTGCAAACGACTTCTCACCGTGGCCCTCATCCTGCGTCCAGATGTTAGTTTCGCGCATGTCTTGGTCTTGCCTGACCTGTGTTGTCACCGGCAGGGGCTCTCCACCAGAGCTCCTAGCGTACCTTGGCCCACGTTACCATTCCACCTTAGCCCTGTAGATGTTGTTATCGACCCCAACCTGTACTACCTGGATGACATCATGTTCTGCAGGAGTGCTTGTGCGGGCTGTCACAGCTGCTGCTGCTGCTGTTGCTACCACTGCGCTGGTGAAAGCGACGCCGCGGCCGAACTGAATGAGGAGCTCGCGGGTGTGCAGCAAAGGTAGGGTGGAGGGCCGGCACTAAGCCGCCGCTTCACGGCTTGCTCCCTTTGCTGGCCTATGTGGATGTCGTTACATGCTTTGCATCTCATGGGTACCATGGGAGAATATATTGCCATGCCGAACTCCATTTAAGGACATCCATTTATGCGGAACAACTTGACAGCTTCTTGCTCCTATGGAAATCGAAGATAACGTCTATTAAGGGTTTGACTGCTGCCTGAACCCCAAACCATTAGGCTGCTGGCGGCGCGAAGGGAGATGGTTGGGCAGGCAGAGCTGGTGGCGCAGCTCCAATCGGATCTTGTGGCGGCTCAACAGGCAAAAGTGGCGATTGAGGAACGCCTAGAATCCGTGGAGGCAATTTGCGGGGTAAACAATTCGCGTCTATGTCTGTACAGCACATGCAGCTTGGTGCCTAGCCTGGAATGCGTCATGCATTGCGATTCCATGTTTGTTGAGAGGATGTCGAAAAGCTGTCCTAAATGGCCATCAGGGTGAAGCAGGGATATGGGTATTGGGGAAACGTTGGAGCTTGGCTGCATTGGTAGTCCCTCACCGCCGCTATGAGATGCAGAAAGGTTTGCCTTACTAGGAACACGGTGGGAAGTGTTGGAAAGTGACCGACACTCATAAACCAGCGAATGGCGACAGAAGTAATAGAACCCCACAGGGTTCCGGCGCTTTGCTGTGTTTAACAGGAAGTAATTTTCTTAAGGTCACCGCCATGTGCCCTCTGTATTTTTCCGAAAAGCAGGAACTCCGTTCAGAAAATGTGAGCTTACGGATGCAGCTGTTGTCTGTCGCGGCACTGGGCGGGGCCACACGCCAGAGCGAGGTACGGCACACACTTGGCTCTCCATGATGCGGTTACACAACGGGCCCCCTGGTGCGACAAAGTCAGTGCCAGATTGTGATGCACCCGGGGTTCCCGGCCGGCTGGCCATGCCACAGGTGTCGTTATGTTTTTTCCGCGCGCCATGAGCCGGTGACGCCTGCCCAATGGAGTGCTGTGTACTGGTTTGGCAACTGATTATACACCATCCATCGATTCCTGAACCCTAACGGGGACTGTCGTATCTTGTGCCTTAATCGTTGAGAGGAGCTTTATCTGGAGGGGGGGCCGTGAGAAAGCGCTGGCCCCCCACCCGAAATTTGGACTCCTATGACCCAGGCCAGCCAGACCAGTCGCTCCCGCTCGAGTGTGATTCGATGCTTTGTTTCCGACAACTTTCCGACGCAGCAGGCATGGCAGGGCAGTCGCATCCAAGACAGTGCAACTCATTCTGCTGTTGCTGCTGGTTCTGATCAGTTGGCTCCGTATAGCGGTCGCGAGGCGGCTGCTCAAGCTGCGGCGCTGCGGGCAGCTCAGGCCGACGCCGCCACTCGCGAGCTGCTGCAATCTGCGCGGCGGGAGCAGGTGGCTGCGTCCCTGGCCCTGCTGAGCCAGCTCCGCCGCATGCAGGCGCTGGAAGGCATGCGACTGCGCGACCTGCAGGTGGGTGTGCGTGTGGATAGGTGGGCAAGTGCGCACAGATGTGGCCACAGCACCTGCCCACTCGCACAAATACGGCTACGTAATGCGGGTGCGGTATGGATGCTGCCTGCCGCAGGAGATTTATGAGTTGGAGCGGCAGCTGGCGCGACACACAGGGAATTTATGCAGCCGGGCTGAGCGCTCATGAAAGGAAGGACACCACCACATGCATGTGTACCTACAAATACTACCGAAAGCCACACCGACAACAGGTATGCGGCTTGGCGAAGTGCCAACGGCTGGGCACATATGCGACTCCTTAATTGTATGTTTGAAACAGCCATCATATCTTATGAAATTGTCCTAACGAAGTGTATGGAGAAGTACGTTTCCAGAAAATAATGCCTACTTAAATTCAAATGGACGCACAATTCCAACGCCATGTGTGCTGGTAATTCTGCAAAGAAAACGGCAAAAACAGGCGCGCCTATTGTTCTGAGTATTACGTACCCAATTTATCCTAATAGCTACTAGTGCATTGCACGATGCACGGAGTTGCCTGGTTCTTCTGTCGCAGCAAGCGATAATACTGCTTCGGGTTTTGCGTAGCTATATACGCCCCGGGTGCTGCGCTGAAGCGGTTGGTCTGTAGGCCTGTCACTTCAGGGTAGCGCAACCCCACCCAGCCCGAAGACTATTTTGTATTGCTTGCAGGTGCTTTCTCTGTAACAGAGACTTCACATGAAAACCATCTTTTGCGCTCTGTGATCCTCGTACAAAGCCCTGGTACATGGGCGAGCATCATACAGTGGGTCCGACCGGATTACCGGTGTTGCACTTCACCTCCGTAGCAATGCGGCTGTAGGGTTATGAATGCTGTTCCGTTGTCGTTGGCCACTGACAGACGTGTCACCATGTAGCTTATTATTAATGTTTGTGGAACGTTGCATCAGGGCCCGTGAAATTGGTGTGGCGTAAATACTTTTGCGAAACGTTGGTATGCGATCGCTTGACTAGTCTGGACCGGCAGACACAAACATCTTTAACATTCGCCACACTGAAGAATTCACGTGGCACGACGGTAACCCAGGAGAACGAAACCGCCCCAAGCACTGCGATCAACAAGCACTTCGTCTTTGCAGCTGAAGTTTCCTTTCCATGAGGCTGCAAATTAACATGCCGCCATACCAACCACTTATGCCGACACATCGAGATATGTATATGGGCACCAGTACGAATACGTGGCTGCAAGTGCGCCTACATAAACACACGATCCACAACGAATGGCAACGCCTCTACCACACAGTTACATCAGCACCACTAATGCGCCACTGCTCGAGGAAGAACGATGCAGTACGGGAGTGGGGTTGTTTTATTGTCGGCTGGCCTAGCGCGCCCCCGGGGAGGAACGATGCGGGCGAACTTGCAGCGGCGTGCTCACCATTGGCGAAAGCCAGCATCCCATTTAGCGTGGGGCGATGATGGGAATAACATGGTTTGCGCGAGCGACACGTTTCTTTACGCGTGAGAGGCAAAGGAGCCCATGCAGCGAAGGCTTTGCTGGGTACGGTAGTAATCGTTGAAATAAAAAATTTGATAGTTTTCTAGGCAAAAAGCGCCGGAGGTAGGCACAAGAAGTCACACTGCGCTAAGTCTTCACTGACTACGTCTTCACTTCCGAGTCCCAATCCGTAGGATTTCTCGCTCATTAGTCATAGAACCCCTGGTGCAGTAATCTGATATCTAAATAAACAATTTCAGGAGTTTCCCTTTCGTACTGTTGCAGCATTACAGCCATTTCATGGCGCCATCACTGCAGCCCGCCCACTGCAACCGCCAGCGCCCCCGCCGCTAACCCATTCCACCCCACACGTGGCGAGCACCTCACGTGCCTTGGCCACGGGACCGTGGCCCGCTGCCACTCCCGGCTACTACTGCCGCCGACGGCCCAAAGCCGGGCAGCCTCACAGGCTCGTCCACAGCCGGAGACCCCTCCCCAGCTACATGCATCTGGTCGGACGGTCTGGCGCTGGTGCTGCTAGGAGCCGCCGACCCCCTAGGCCCCGTAACTCCTGGTCCGCCGCCACTACCATTCAAAGTTGCAGAATCGTCCGCGCGCCAGGAGGCCTCGGCAGGGCTGGATGGCGTGGACGGTGGCGCGGCGGAGGCGGCCTCCGCTGCCTGCTCACCTTCACGGAGTTGCCTGATCAGCTCTGAGACAGCCTCCCTTGTTGCGTCCACATCCGGAACATCCAGCTGGGGGATGTCGAGGAGGTTGGGGGTTGACAGTGAGGGAGCAGGATTTGAGTTCATGGGTTTATATGAATGGATGGCGGAGGAGGATGGGACAGGTCGGAGATGTGAAGCATGGAGCCGATTGGAACAAGAGATACAAAACATAAAAATTAACTAGAGAAGAGGAGAGAAACGTTCCACGCTAAGAAATCCGAGGCATGCTCTCGATCCACCAGAAAGGAGAGAAAGAAGTTCCTACAGGTTCAAGAGACCATAAAGAGGACTATCCCCGAGGGCCGTCACCGGTTTCACCGAAATGCCATCACCACACAGGCCTGTGTGCATCGCCCGGTACCCAGCCCAACCCACCCAGTCCTTACCTGCTCCAGAACCTCCGTATCCATGGCCTCCAGTGCCCTACGAACGACCAGTGGGTCGAAGCGCTCCAGGGAGCGCAAGTCCCCCCGGCCGCTCACGTAATCCGCCACTGCATCCAGTACAGCCTCGGTTTCGTAGCCCACACCTCCGTCGCCGTCGCCATCCTCACTGCCGCCACGTCCTGTGAGCCGCTGCAGTGCTCCCCGAACGCCTCCTCGCAGCAGCGCCGCCGCCTCCACCATCAACACGAACTGACGCGGCAATGCGGGTACAGCGGCAGGTACAGCCGAATGACGGGGGTTACGGTTGATCCGCTCGCATCACTGGGGGTAACTGGTACTGCTGGCCCCCATCCACGCAGTGAGAGGCCCGCCAAGGAGGTCGGGGCCCTAGCGGTATCATGCAGTGCGGCCATGAGCGATCCGTGCAGACGCCACCCTCCCTCCCTCCCTCCCGAGGGGGCTGGAGGGGAGCTCTCCCGGAGCAGGCAGGTCAAAAGAGCTGCATGTCCACCACCTAGCGAAAGAAGGCCCCGCTGAGCCCAGCCCAGCTGCTCGTCCGTGCTCAAGCCCAACGATTCCAGATACGGTACATCCCGTAGGTTTCTCACAACATATGGAATTTGTGCAAGCTTACAGTACGCCGGGAGCAAGGCCCTAATGTCCATACCCTGCTTTCCTCTCTTACGCCTTAGAGCTCCGCCCCACATCAGATCACACCCCACAGACAAGAAGCACAAGCACACCAACCGCCAACCGGTCCGCTGTACCTCATCCCTACCTTTGCTACACCCACGGCAACCCGCGCCAGTCGCCGCAACCAGCGGCGCTGCCGCCGCTGCCCGACCGCCAGCCGGCTGAGTCGCACCACCCGCGCGCTGCTACCACCCGCCGCTGCTGCGGGGTCCAGGTGGAACTTCACAGAGGCGGTGGAGGAGAAGCTTCTCAGGGTGTCCCAGGCGGGTGTGTGGGGGTACTGCAGGGGAATCTCCTGCGACCCGACCACGAGAAACGCCTGGAAGGAGGGCATCACCATCACCATCATTATGATTATCATGGTGATCATCATGAGGCGAGATGCAGTCGATGATGTCAAGGGGGTGGTCTCTAGGGAGATGGAGCCCGACAGGACCAGGACCCCGATGCGAGGGTTGGGGACGGGTGAGGGGTGGCGTGTAGGGAAGGATATTGCCAGGCCGGGCCTTGTTAGGACGCGGACGTGTTGGAAAAAGCCAAAAATGTGGTGCGCTGGTTGATTGACACAACAGCAAAAGCAATGATGCCAGCAGCAACATGTATGTACAGGATGAATACGGGGCGGGGCAGACGTGGGGGAGACTTCTTCCATAACCTCGTGCGCCACAGATTACATACCGCAGATGGAGTGAGGTGGTAATGTGATGCAAGCGAGAGAGGGCTGAAGGGAGGAAATAATTTCGGTATTTTCCACGTCGCGCTAGGTTCCTGCGCGCACTTCACGTGCATGTGCATCTGCAATTGCCGTACTCCTGTACCTGCATGCCGTACTCCTGTGGCGCATCCCGCACGCGGGCCAGGGCCGTGGCGCACAAGTCGAAGAAGGTGTGGCAGGGGAACACCTGATCACGTATCATGCACGAAATGGGGCCGCGGTGGTGTTGGATGAAGCTGATGTTGGATGAAGCTGATGACAGCTTATCGGTTTGGAGTGTTACTGTTTCCTCGACGTGATCTACCCGTGCAGCTGCAGGCATGCAGGCAGCTAATCCTTTAACAGGGATCAAGATTACGAATTAAGCACCTGCAAGGGTGGTGCCCCCATAAGACGTAACCTTCCAGGAAGTCCGTACCTCGACGGGCAGGTTTTCGATGGCTGGATGGGTTTGACCCTGAATTAGCACCGACACGAGACGATAGTTTGGCGGCAGAACTTCTGACGTTGATGCTAATGGCTGGTTGTCCTCTGCTGCAACAGTGCGCTTCGGAGCTTGCGTCGGCCCATTAGGACGGTCGGCGGCTTCAACCGCAGGGTGGCCAAGCTCTTGGGACGATGCGTAATTTGGTTTTGCCGATGGACTAGCTTTCAAGTCTCCTATAATTTCCTTGCTCATAGCTGTTTCGGATCGGCAATTAATTGCAATGAAGCGACTTATGAAATTCGGGATAAAAATCATCAGTTAATCATCCGATGCATCGGCAACTCTTCAGCCTCAGATGAGTCCAAATCGCCTTGCATCCTTTGCTTGATGGAGAACATCAGGTTTCGGAGTCAACCACCGCCAACGAACGTTCACACTGGGCTATGCATTTCTTATTGTGTGCCCGAATGTGGTAAAGCTTTCAGGAGTAATGCGATCTGCCTTTTCACGCGGTGACCATGGAGCACCCCACTGGTATAGAGCCGTGGGGTAACTATTATATGCGAGGCACTGGTCCTAATATTCGTGACTCAGGTAGTATTTGTTCCATAGTTGCTGAGTGTCCTCCTGTTTCAAGGCGGGTTCCGAGTTGTACATCCCGCGCCGCACCTTTCGTCAAATACCCTAGCCGCGGAAAATGGAAGCTCACCTACCAAATTCAACCTGAATTTAAATGTCTCAGCTTGTAAAACATACGACGGCATGGCGTCGGCTCTCGGCGCATTTCACGCACAACGCGCCCATCACGAGACTTTTCCCTGACCCACATTTACACCACGTGCAAATAACATAATAATTCCACATACATCAACACGGGTATGTCTCGATTATCCGCCAGGACTTGGCGACCTCTCCGTCCTGAGCGATGCTCTCTTGCTGGAGCTGCTAGGCATTGGCGCTCTGGGCGCCGTGGCCCTGGGCCGACTGGCGCTGGTCAGCAAATCTTTCTACTGCTTTGCCAATTTAGAGGAGCTCTGGAAGGGCATGGTGATCGAGGTACGGCACCGTAGTCCACCGTACGACGAAGCGTTCCTGCGAACCACATCCCCAAACTCGCTCCGAGACTCTTAACTGCTATGCGCTCTCCCATCGCAGCAGTCATGTGTGCGGAGTCTGAGACCCTCCGCTTCCCTTTTCCTACAGTCAAGTCTCAACCCCCACGTTTGCATCCTTTCAGCATGCCGTGCGCGCTCGCCCACGCGCCCAATCCGCAGGAGCTGGGCGGTGGGTTCTCTTGGTGCGGCACCTGGCAGCGGACCTACCTGGTATCTACAGGGCTGCTACGTGAGGAGGGCGAGGAGGGGAAGGAGGGGGAGGGGAA